AGGAGAAAACACGTTCACTTCTCATGCCCCTTTTCAAAACATACTTTGCATTCTCTGTTAACGGCATGGTACATATCTGTGAATACATCCTTCCAAAAGAGGCTAAGACTTCAATCCTTTCAAGTAAGCAATCCTAGGTTTGCACTGTACATTTCACTGTGGCCCCTAGAAACATTGCTTACTGGCCTTCGAATGCTACTTCAAAAGCTGTTTAGAGGAATGGCTCCCTCCTACTATGTACTTTTAGGTTGTGCATGAGATGTTCATCAAAAGAGAGTCTGCTGCTAATTTAGTACTTCTGTGGGTTTTATTATTATTATTAAAAACAGACTTAGGCGGATTTCAAAGCAAAAATTACTGGTGCTTAGAAAAGCTCGAGAAGTAGAGAAAAATTACTGGTGCTTAGAAAAGCTTGAGAAGGCCAAACAGCAACGGATTCCTCTTCTTTTAATTGCTATTACTTCTGATTGGCAAGCCCAAGCGGCTCAATGGTTTAGACCACAACACCACCTGCATCCCCGTGACAGGGTGAGCTCCTGTTGCTCGGTCCCTGCTCCTGTCAACCTAGCAGTTTGAAAGCATGCCAGTGCAAGTAGATAAATAGGTACTGCTGCGGTGGGAAGGTAAACGGCATTTCCATGCACTCTGGTTTCCGTCACGGTGTTCCATTGTACCTGAAGCAGTTTAGTCATGCTGGTCACAAGCTGTCTTTGGACAAGCGCTGGCTCCCTTGGCCTGAAAGCAAGATGAGTGCCACAACCCCATAGTCGCCTTTGCCTGGACTTAACCGTCCAGGGGTCCTTTACCTTTTACCTTACTTTAGAAACACTTGATCCACAAAGGAATAGGGAAATGGTTTACCTGACACAGAACTTGGGTGAATTTTCTAAGGATCATATGCTTGAATCCTGTCATGGGGTTTTTTTTGGGGGGGGGGGGTGTTAATCAAAAGTGAGGGCACAACTTCACATACAACAGCACAACTTCACACCATACTTTTTTGTCCACATTAGCAGTGATAGCTGAATCTTGATACATGCTCATATGGACTAGTAGTTAATGGGTGAACTGAGGAGTAATAGGCCCTTAAATGTACTAAAATTTACCAACTTGCTTTCCCCTCCTATGATAGGTGACCTTCAGTTACTAAGGAGCAGGAGTGAGAGAAGATTACTGTACTCATGTCTGCTTGGGGCCTTGCCACAGTGGGCCACTATCAGAATAGGATGCTGAATTACATGGGGCTTTATTCTGATCCAGCATGACCTTTCTTATGTTCTTATTATATATACTGTATAGCTGAATTTCTTTTTTTAACTTGCAGGTAAAAGATAGTGCCAGTTAGCCCTTTCAAATGAAACCCAGTCTGCCTTTTTAAAACTCCGTTTTACATTTTATTGTGCATTAATCTCTTTTTTTAATTGGAATGTTTTCATGATTGAGACTTTATGTTTCAATGGATTTAAAATGTTATAATATTAATATTATCATAATTAATTAATTAATTAATTAGAATGGCATATTATGCTTTGAAATGAATAAGCCTTTAAGACTGATTGAAATAATACATTGAGGAGTCTTCATCCTCTCCCCCCCCCCCATTTCCCATTTTTGGCACATTTAAGTGCGAAAGCAGCATACAAAATGAAATTTTAAAAGAATAGAATTAAATATACCTATATAACAAAAGCATTTTCCAGGCCACAGCCAGAAAAAATTAGATTTTCCTAATGTGATGGCTTTTGTTAAAAGAATAGATAATACATTGTAATTCAACATTATTCAACATTGTAATTCAACCAAACACTTGGGACAATTATGAGTTTCCATTCATAACAGCCAGGTTCACAAATGAAATATTTGCCCACATTTAAACTGTGATTATACAACTCATGTTAGGGCTGTGTGACTGAGTGCCTTCTAATTCCTGGATCCAGCAAGGATTCAGTTGTTGAATTAGGCAGGCAAGGGGCCAGACCTCACCACCACCCTATCCTGCGCCATCCCCTTCTCAGAGAAAGCAGTGCCACCACTGAGAGGGCACTGCTATGGTTCCAGCTCCCTTCATGTGCTGCTGGTGGTGGTGATGCAAACAAAAGAGAACAACATTGTGCAACAACCTAATTGTAATGATATAAAAAGATGCTTTTAAAAACCTCCCTAAACCTAGTGTTCACGGAGAAATATTATTATGCCAGCCAATGGGGCATTTGCAAAAAATGAAAAATATCATCATAGCATTACAGAGTTGGAAAAGATCTTGGAGGTCATCTAGGGCTGCTGGGAACTGAAGTCCAACAAAATGTTGGTGTAGACAATACAGAGCTAAATGGATCCACTTGGTTGTACAAGGCAGTGCTCCATGTTTCTTTGTAGAAATTTGAAGATCACTATCGTGTCTTCCTTTATTTTTCTCTAATCCAGGCAAAACATACCCAGCTGTTTCAGCTGTTCCTCATAGTTCCTTAGTTTCCAGAGCATGCACAGCACAAGGTAATCCTCTGTGGGACCCAGTAAGGATTTGATTCTAGTCATCCTTCCTGCACCATCACAGACTTGCAGTTTTGAAGTGGATTGAGCGATGCACTTCCTTTGAGGAAGAGACAGGCTCGCTGGTACTCTGTTCATACAGTTTGGTGGAGCTATTCATATTGTAGAACTAGTGCAGCTGCTCCATATAGTCCAGTAGCACAAGGACAATTTGGATTAGTCCAGTCCTATTCATAAGTCTTTCAGTAGTCCTAGATCTAATTTACTTTATAATGAAAAACACAATGGGCCACAGGCCACACTGGGAAGAGATCAATACTCATACTAGACATATTGCTCACAAAATATGTTCTGAATCTTTTCAGGTTGTCTCTGATTTGAACTCAGAGGGCCATTCACAGCTTTCCTCTTCAACTTTTAAATGCACAGGGCTACAGTTTCCTCAAAGTCACGCACATTGTGACAGATCAACAGGAGCCCTGAAGCATCAGTACTGGTGCCTGCACTAAGTCTGGGAGTGCACTTTCGCTCCCTCTTTTTAACATTCCCTCTTCAGTAGAATTCAAAATGCTATTGAAAGGGAAACAGGCTTGTTCTTGTCTGTCCTTTCTTCCGGTGATCAACTCCCAAATGGCCTTTTCCCCATTAACAAGAAGAAAGGATGGTGTCATATAGTGACAGCAAAGGGGACTAAATCTGCTGGATCTTCTTCAAAGGGAATGAAATCCTGTTCAGCTTCCAATTAATGGTTATTAGAGATGCACCTGTTTTTTTTAAAGGCAAGCAACCCAATTCCATGTTGCAATTTCTGAACTGTTAGCTGATCCGGCCTCTGTTTCCATGGAACTTACTGCACACTCAAAACGCAGCAAATAGTTATTTTATTATGATTACTTGGATAACACATAGTGTGGATTTATAGAATGCTTTAATTTTCTGTGGGCACAATTCACCTAATGAGCCCTGTCTGTGGAAGCCCTGTGCAAGGACTTCTGCTTATATAATGGATCTTCCCCTCCCCACTTGTGTGCCCCCAGAAATTGGCTGGGGATGTGTTGGGAGAACCCCCAGAATAGCACACAGAGGGGGGAAAGCAGAATTGTTCCATCTGGCCACCTGAAATGCTTGCACAGACAGAACCGTCCCTGCATCCCGCTTCATTATGCTACAAATGTATTCAGGGAAAGCCTAGAAAACTGATTTCATACCCTTCTGGTGAGAAACCCCAAGGGTTCCAAGCACTTACCCAGGGTTTGGTTTCTTTGGAAGAAAGTTCAGTGGAGACAGAGGTGTTATTCGGATATGTGGTTCTATTTTCACATACATACACGCTGATGGAGGGGCTCGCAGTATTAACACCCCAACAGATCTTGCTTCCCCATTAGGTTTCCAGAGAAGCACCAAAGCTTTGCATAGAGCAAACCTGTCTCTATGTCTCCAACTTCTCTACCTGCTTTCTGTCCAGCTCACACTACACTCCCCTTCGTTTTGTCTACCTGCCACTTAGGTGAGTTAGGGAGGCCCACCCATTTGCCCAGAGGGCACCATCACTCTTGCAGCCTAGCTCATTCTTTGGGGATGCTAATGAAAGACATTTAAGTGACCGACCAAGTCCATTGCCTTATAATTGCCTAGTTCAGCAATAGAATCCTCTATCAGAGCTTTTAACCCTTACTGAAGGAGCGTCTCCACCCCCATCGTTCTACCCGGACACTGAGGTCTAGCGCCGAGGGCCTTCTGGTGGTTCCCTCACCGCGAGAAGCCAAGCTACAGGGAACCAGGCAGAGGGCCTTCTTGGTAGTGGCACCTGCCCTGTGGAACGCCCTCCCACCAGATGTCAAAGAGAATAACAACTACCAGACTTTTAGAATGAAGGCAGCCCTGTTTAGGGAAGCTTTTAACGTTTGATGCATTACTGTATTTTAATATTTTGTTGAAAGCTGCCCAGAGTGGCTGGGGAAGCCCAGCCAGATGGGTGGGGTATGTATAAATAAATAAATAAATACTGGATGCAGGACCCCAAGAATTAAGTGGGACTCAGGGCATCATCCAGACTGACCCCCCAAACTTACAACAATATTCATTGCTATGCTTGTTTCCTGGCAGGACCAGGAGTGGGGGAGGAATGAAGTATCCACGATTTCAGTAGTGCGCACACACTGCACATTCACATTTAAACCATAGTTTATTTTAACTGTGGGTTAAAGTAGTATGCAAACCAGAGCATAAAGAGTTTCTTAAGTTACCTCCGTAGCTCTTCAAAGACTCTCCAGTTTTTGTCCATCAGCACACGGAGAGTACACAGATCATTCACAAAGGTAGACGTTTTTGAGCCCATTTAAAAGTCCAATTTGCACAATCACCTTGTTTCCTTCAGGAGGTACTTTAGAAAATTATTAATTCCTGAATAATGTTTGTTGCTCTTTAGACTTAGTGCTCAAGGACAGATAATTATCTCTGCTATATAAAATTGTGTTTACCTGCCCTGATGCCATGGGATAAGGGGAGCTGTACATTTAAGTATAACACATTAATCATTATGTCCCACTGAGAAGAGCTCTGTGGCAAGTTATTTTGCAGGCAATTGGGACGCACGTTCTTCTCTTCCCCTAGCCGGTCTGATTTTAAGAGTCTCAAGATTTTAAGAACCTAGCATGTATTGGGTCTATTTGTGTGATCACACTTTATGTAATAGTCACCAAGAACTGAACGTAGAAAATTACTTGCTGGAAAGAGAATGTGTTTGTATATGAATCTATCTTTAGTTTGCTGGCAGCAGAAAGAAGGATTGAAGGATTTTGGACCTATTAAACGTATGCTCTAACAATGATTTATTACATCTTATCATTCAGCTGCTAAGTTTCTGCCTTGTCCCATTCCACTGCTCCCCTGCCCTCTTGCAGATAAACAAGCTGGAGGCTTGCCTCAGGCAGGCGAGGTGCTTGGATGGTAATGGGATTCAACTGAAGGAAAATGAGCACCAGATGAAAGAAGGCTGCATTACTTGGAGCTGTAAGGTATGTGTTGCTGAATGCTCAGTCTGGGATATAAATCCTTTCCCCAGTCCTATATAATGCCGTCTTGAACCAACCTGCAATGAAAAGTCAAGCACAGAGGTTAGCCTTGCCACTGTGATGGATGTAGATAATAAGAAATGTACATGTACAAGAGAGTCTGGGATTTGAGCATCAGATATGATCACAGTTAAGCGCAGGCCCATAAAATTGGGCTAGATTGATCTATGGGTGCTTTCTAAAGGAACATATTGTGGTACAAAATCAGGATTGAGACTTAGTAGGTCCAGTCCACACCACTGCTGTGTTTCCTAGATGGCCAAAACTACACATGATGCAGAAGATCCATGACTGGAACTCCTGATGCCTTCATTTGGACATAAAAGCAAATCCAGGGAAGCCCTGGCATTGGGGAAGGTGTTTTAACCTCTTTCCCCTGTTCTGTTTTCCCAATTCAAGTTTTTCCTCTTCCAGCTACTGTTTATCCAGATGAAAGAAAATACAAGCACAGCATTCTGTACCCATATTTCCCCCTTAGTGAAATACAGAAGCTTTTTGGTGGTGAAGGGGGTGGCTCTCACTTGAGAAAGCAGCAAGGGAGGAAAGAGTTGATTATCCCACTTCCCCAAGTGGCTTTGCTACAGTCAGAACTGAAACTCCCTGCATCTGTTTTCAAGCACAAACAAAAATAATGTGAGTCAGTTCTGATGACAGATCTCCCACCCCATTTTAGATGCAGTTTGGCCTTTAGAGACCCCAGTATTAGGCAACTAATTTTAACAAGACCCATAAGCTGAAATCTGCAGAGATTCAAGGGCCAGCAACAACAAACTCCATTCCTTGGTGGGTCATGGCTTTGGCTGCTTTCTCTCCTGTGAGAAAAGGCAGCACAGGAGTGAGAAAAGTTCTATCTCCAACCTATTCAGCTCGCTCTCGTGCAATCTGTGCAGTGGCAAGAACCAGTTGAGAAAAGTAAGTGGAGGGCTCTGCTAAAGTCTCTGCTGGTGTTCATGCTAGGAAGGAGATGACAAAAGATCTCTTGACCTACATCTCAGCTCAAATGGGAAAGGAGATGATTCTGGTGCACTACAAGGGGGAAAGACCCTTGGATAAGCAGCAATGTTGGGGGAAGATTGGGCTCCCAGGCTTATCTCTATTTAAAATAGAATATAGTCCAGTGGCAGAGAAACTGCTTTGCAGACAGAAAGTCTAAGGTTCAGTTGCCAGAATCGCCAGGTAGGGCTTAGAGAGATCCCAGTCTGAAACCCTAGAGAGTTGTTGATAAGTAAGGGTAGACAGATGGATAGATGCACCAGTTGCCTTAGTATAAGACATCTTTCTATGCTGCTAAGCCACTATGACACTGTGCTTAAAAACAACTATAAGTGTGTGCATTCTGTCTTTTCTTGGACATGCTCATAGAAGCCATGGAGGCATTTGTTTGCAACTAGATATAAAGTCTGAGCATTTTGACCACAACTGGATGCCGTCATCTGCCCCAGCTGCAACAAAACATGTCTCCCAGCCATCAATTTCTTGACTTTAAGAAAGCCGACTTCATAAAACTTAGGGAAGTGCTGGGTGAGATCCCATGGACAGTAATACTAAAAGGAAAGGGAGTTCATGATGGCTGGGAGTTTGTTAAGAGGGAGATACTAAAAGCACAACATCAGGCAATACCAATGAGACGGAAACATGGAAGGTGCCTAAAGAAGCCAGGGTGGCTATCTAAAGAACTTTTAACTGAGTTAAGATTAAAAAAAGGATGCGTACAAAAAATGGAAAAGGGGGAAACCACCAAAGAGGAATTCAAACAAATAGCCAGCACGTGTAGACACAAAGTCAGAAAAGCTAAAGCACAGAATGAACTCGGCTTGCTAGAGAGGTTAAAAGCAACAAAAAGGCTTTTATGGGTATGTTCGTAGCAAAAGGAAGAACAAAGAAACAGTGGGGTCACTCAGAGGAGAAGATGGTGAAATGCAAACAGGGGACACAGAAAGGGCTGAACTCCTCAATGCCGTCTTTGCCTCAGTCTTCTCCGATAAAGAAAACAATGCCCGACCTGAAGAATTTGAAGCAAATGATTCAGCAAAGGAAACACAGCCCAGAATAACTAAGGAGATAGTACAAGAATACTTGGCTAGTTTAGATGTATTCAAGTCTCCAGGGCCAGATGAACTGCATCCAAGAGTATTAAAAGAACTGGCAGATGTGATCTCAGAACCACCGGCAGTCATCTTTGAGAATTCCTGGAGAACAGGCGAAGTCCCGGCAGACTGGAGGAGGGCAAATGTTGTCCCTATTTTCAAAAAGGGAAAAGAGAGGACCCAAATAATTACCGCCCAGTCAGTCTGACATCAATACCAGGGAAGATTCTGGAGCAGATCATTAAGCAAACAGTCTGTGAGCACCTAGAAAGGAATGCTGTGATCACCAATAGTCAGTATGGATTTCTGAAAAATAAGTCATGTCAGACTAACCTGATCTCGTTTTTTGACAGAATTACAAGCCTGGTAGATGAAGGGAACGCAGTGGATGTAGCCTACCTTGATTTCAGCAAGGCATTTGACAAGGTGCCCCATGATATTCTTTTAAAGAAGCTGGTAAAATGCGGTCTTAACTATGCTACCACTCAGTGGATTTGGAACTGGCTGACTGACCGAACCCAAAGGGTGCTCATCAATGGTTCCTCTTCATCCTGCAGAAGAGTGACTAGTGGGGTGCCACAGGGTTCTGTCTTGGGCCCGGTCTTATTCAACATCTCTATCAACGACTTGGATGATGGACTCAAGGGCATCCTGATCAAATTTGCAGATGACACCAAACTGGGAGGGGTGGCTAACACCCCAGAGGACAGGATCACACTTCAAAACGACCTTGACAGATTAGAGAACTGGGCAAAAACAAACAAGATGAATTTTAACAGGGAGAAATGTAAAGTATTGCACTTGGGCAAAAAAATGAGAGGCACAAATACAAGATGGGTGACACCTGGCTTGAGAGCAGTACATGTGAAAAGGATCTAGGAGTCTTGGTTGACCACAAACTTGACATGAGCCAACAGTGTGACGCGGCAGCTAAAAAGCCAATGCAATTCTGGGCTGCATCAATAGGAGTATAGCATCTAGATCAAGGGAAGTAATAGTGCCACTGTATTCTGCTCTGGTCAGACCTCACCTGGAGTACCGTGTCCAGTTCTGGGCACCACAGTTCAAGAAGGACACTGACAAACTGGAACGTGTCCAGAGGAGGGCAACCAAAATGGTCAAAGGCCTGGAAACGATGCCTTATGAGGAACGGCTAAGGGAGCTGGGCATGTTTAGCCTGGAGAAGAGGAAGTTAAGGGGTGATATGATAGCCATGTTCAAATATATAAAAGGATGTCACATAGAGGAGGGAGAAAGGTTGTTTTCTGCTGCTCCAGAGAAGCGGACACGGAGCAATGGATCCAAACTACAAGAAAGAAGATTCCACCTAAACATTAGGAAGAACTTCCTGACAGTAAGAGCTGTTCGACAGTGGAATTTGCTGCCAAGGAGTGTGGTGGAGTCTCCTTCTTTGGAGGTCTTTAAGCAGAGGCTTGACAACCATATGTCAGGAGTGCTCTGATGGTGTTTGCTGCTTGGCAGGGGGTTGGACTCGATGGCCCTTGTGGTCTCTTCCAACTCTATGATTCTATGATTCTATGTCTCTTTTGCATCAGTCTCTACAGCCACAGCAAGCGCTGCAACCTTCCAACAGTTTGACTTCACCCCCAAAGATGCTCTCCTCCATTGTCTCCCGAGACAGATGCCAATAACCAAGCTATAAAGTCTGAGCATTTTGACCATGTCAGGGCACTGAAAACTGACCTGCTAATTGATGTAAGTCTTTTTTAAAAAAACTTGATTAGAAAATGATTAATTAGCAATGGACTCCTGCAAGGGGAGAGGTTTTGGCAATGAGCCTTCTAATTAACCTCTGGAGCCTTTTGGACATGGCGTACAACTATGAAAAGGATCATTTATTTGTGTGTCCTAGGCTGGTCAATGCCCTTTTATCAGATTCCCAATGGGTACAGGTGAGACGTCGCTCCAGTACTCTGTAGGTGGTACCTTCTATTTAATGTGCCGGAAAATTCCATGGTAAGGAATATTGCAATGGTAGTGTCATATATCTCTCTGAAAGGAGGACACATTAATATCTTCACTTTGCCTTTCAGTGGAGCCAAATAACCTGAACTATTGAGTCATGTCCTTCAACAGAATAAAAGCATCTCACAAAGAACCAAGGTTTGTGCTTTCTACTTTGCAAGAACAACAGTGCTACTAACAACACAGTCATCTGCTTTCTAAAAATATTTATTTAGAGGGCTGGATTGCAAACAAAAAAACTTCAGTGTCATTGACAAACAACAAAGAACTTGCACTGAGAGTTTTAACATTTAAAAAGACAAATGGCCAAATTAATCTAGTCACTCTCTTTGGGGTATTGTTTTGTGCATAGCAGGCACAGTCAATAATTTTCAACATTGTTTGGTTTGTCATTGGAGCTCTGAAAAATCTGTAAAAACCCACAAGATTGCTTCACTTCATAATGGCTTCTTTTCTGATATTTGACTTTTGAATTCATCTATTTTTTTTTTAATGATATTTATTGAAAATTTTTAGAATTACAAAAGAGAACAAAGCAGAAAAAGAGAAAGAAAAAACAAAGAAAAAACAAACCACATCAAACAATACAAATTCAAAAAACAAAAATACACCACAAACACTCAAAAACAAATCCATCATTCTCAAATCCTCAATTGTCATTACCTTCTTTCTTTGACCTCCTCCTCCTCCCTTTTTTTTGTATCCTAGTTGTTAATTGTCGCAGCAAATACTTTCCATATTTCATAATATTCTGTCATTACATTACCTTAATCTATTTTAATCTTATCTTACTATAAAATAACCTTAAAGCTTAAAACTTAAATCTTATTTTTACCAACTTCTCATAACCATAATATTCTTACATAATTCTTTAAACATTTTTGCTAAAGCCAAGTAATTTCATTCCAACATTTTTCTAACATTCATCAATTTTATAAAACAATCCTAGTAGTAAAAAAAAAGAAATAAAAACAATCCAATCTTCATCCAGCGTCCCTGCCTCCTGGTCCCGGGTTTTGTCAGTCCTTATTATCCCATCGATCTAGCGCATTAACCTGGTAACCTTGTATCCGAGGCCCTTAAGTCTCTTCCATGTCCCTTCCGCAGCTCTTCTTCAAATTTATAACTGTATTTTCCTTTGTCTCCTGCTCCTTTCACTCGTGGGAACTCCACCTTAACAATGTTTTTGACCCTTCTCGACAAATCAACCCCTTTTCCATAGTCCACACTAAACTCCATGTGGTATTTAAGAACATGTTTCAAAATCCCTCCAAAATTAAGAGCCCCCACAACCCCAAACATCTCACGGCCCATTGCCAGACTTGAAAGGTCCAAACATCCCTGCATAGGGGGGTTTATCCAACCCCCCATTTCCAAACCAAACCAAACTTTATCTTTCCAAATCTGGCTTTTTCCAAGTTCATTTGTCAAGTCCAAAAGCTCATGTTCCTGCTGGGCCACAGCTCCCTTCATCTCTGGCGCCCAAGATTCAGTAACATCCTCTTCCCTCATCTCTTCTGTCAGGGCACACTCCTGATTTAATTCCTGGGTGGGCACCATATAATTTCCCACTGCCTGTTCAAAATTTCTGATCGCATCAGTCATCAAATCCGTCTTCTCATGTAGCTGTTCCAGTAGGGCATTTGTTTTACAGAAAGCACGCAACAGAGCTTCTGAATACATTGTCCTGCAAGGTCAAAAGTCTATTCCCACGATTGTAATCTGTAACAGCTGCAAGCTCCCCAGAGTTGGTTACAGTTTCACAGTCTCCCTCTAGGGGGAAAACTTCTATTTGTTCTTTCTTTTAAAGACAAGTCTAACAACAAAGTTTCCTTTTTCAGATATTTTGTCAATATTTGTTCCTTTAAAATGCGAAGGGGAACAATGGAATCAATGTTTCTCTTCTTATAGCTATCTGTCAAAAATGTTTGTCTCTGGTCAATGAGCTTCAAAAAAGTCAGTCCTTCTGGAGGCGGCGCCATCAGCAATGGCGGAATCCCTCTAGCTCCAAGGGACTTAGCTCCACGGAAATCGGGTCTTGCCGCTACGGCGAAGCGGCGACCCTTCTGAAACCACAGGCGGGTGAAGCCTGTGACCGTGGGACTCGGCAGGCACCTTCAGCGCTCCCCCAATCTGCAAAGGAGCCCGGTTACGGGCTCCGGAGCGAAACGGGGAGTCTGGCGCAGTGCTGAGAGTCAATTGCTTCTTCCGTGGAGTAAAGCCGCACAGCTGTTGCCGGAGAGCGCTGACCTTTTTCCTGTGACAATTCGGCTATCAAACAACTACCCGTGAGTAGGTCAAGTTCAAAGATCGGGGAATAAGGAAAAAAAGTACTAATTTGGCACCGAAGCGGGAAGGTGTAAACAGGAAGTCCGCCTTCCTTTCTTGTAAAAAGATCAAAGCAAAGACTGTCTAAGCTAAGACCTTGAAATCGCTTTAAAAGGACTTAAATCCTAACATCAATATAAGAGAACTCCCTCCCTGAGTTGCAGGAGAGGGGAGGGAAAAGGGGGAAGTATTTTTTGCCTGCAAAAAAAAAAAGAGAGAGAGAGAAAAGGGAACAAAGACCACCACTTAATGCCTGGGAACGGACTGTCAAGGGACATAGAATTGCCGTACTGTGAATCGCGCTATTTATGGACAATGCAACTTTTTGACAGCTAACTCTGTAAGAGAGATACTTTGATTCTGAAGGGTTTCTCCGGACTTGAAACTGTTGCTTACTTCGTTAAAGGGGGGATTCGGGAAAGTTGGAAAAGATATCTTATTGTAACAAGCTTTGACTGTTACTGTGTCCCCCTAGAGGAACCTTGAAATTGTTACAACTGGCCAGGGAATTTTCCACTCTAAACTGGCCAGGGGAATTTTCCACTACAAAACAAGCTCCGGCCGTGGAATTGACCTTGATCCCTAGATAAAGTGTTATGGCAAACTTGCCTCAGGAAAAAACAACAAGATCGGGGAAAATTAGACTGCAGCAGCGAAGAGCATCAGCATCTGGCCCTCCTGCTCCACTAGGAGAAGATTCTGCTCAAGTTGGATTAAAAGGAATGGCTTCTGAAGAGGGTCTAGCTTCAGCATTAGGAAAAAATTTTGAATCAACAACTAAGCAACAACTAAAATTGAAGCAACAACTAAAATTGATCAAAACACTATAAGCATTAATAACTTGGGGCAGAAGGTGAACTCAAACACAGAATCTATTGAGAAACTGCTGCAGGAATCTACTTCGAATCGAAAGACAGCTGAAGAAGCAAAGGAAAAAGCATTGGCTGTAGAGGAAAAGATACCACCAATATGTAGGCAACTCGAGGATCATAGGTCGTTGCTGTCTATGATTGAATTGAAAGAAAAACAGACAAATTTAAGGATCAGGGCTGTACCTGAACTTGAGAAAGATAGTTTGAGTGATTTTCTTACGCAGGAATTTGCAGACTTTTGGAACTTAGACTCAGATAAGCAAGATTTCAAGATAATAAGCGCTTTTAGACTTGGAAGAGGGGGGAGAAAGAACAGGGTGAGAGACTGTTTGATTACCCTCCGAACAAAAGAGGAGAGAGACAAAATATTGAGTCTGCACTTCCAGAAGACTTTGGAAATACATGAATCAAGAGTGGAGATATTCAAGGACATCCCGAAATATCTTTTGGATCTTAGGTCTAATTACGGAGATCTCGTGGCCCTGTTGAGAGGAGATAGAACTGTTTTCAGGTGGGAATTCCCCCAAGGCCTATCTTTTACCTTTAAAGGGAGAAAGTTTAAAATAAGATCAGTGGAAGATAAAGAAAATTTTTTGAGAGAGCACAGAGAAGACCTGCAAAAAGAAGCTGAAGAAGAGCCAAGAGCATTAAAACCAGGAATACAAGACATAGTACCACCACCTTTGGGATTGGACAAGCTAGAGAAAGTGATACCACCGACAGAGCAAGAACAATTATTGGGTGCAGTTGGAGGAAAAGCAAAATAAATACACCATGTCTCTGCAGTTATTAAGTTGGAATATTCATGGTTTTAACTCCCCGGAGAAAAGGAAAAAAGTCTTTCATCTATTGAAAAAGGAACAATTGGACTTGATTTGTTTACAGGAAACACACGTGATAAGGCTACATAGGAAAGTATTGATTAATAAAAGATTGGTTTCATCAGACAAAGTCAAAAAGAGAGGAGTTGTAATTTAAGCAAAAGAGAGCCTATCACCGAAATTTATCTTTAAAGATGACCAAGGAAGATTTGTGGCAATTGAAATTCAAATACAAGGAGAGAAATTTCTGATAGTAGGAGTATATGCACCAAATGAGGGGAAATCTGAATTTTTTAAGAAGTTGCACGAGACATTGTTGGACTATATGGATTATAACATTATTATGATGGGAGATATGAATGGAGTGGTATCTACAAACATGGATAAGTCACAGAGACAGGCAGTCACCAAAGATGGCAGACTACCAAAACCTTTTTTTGAGATGACTGACAATATGGATTTGATTGACATTTGGAGAACAAAAAATCCCTTGGGTAGAGAGGGAACTTTCTTCTCTGAAGCCAAAATGACATGGACAAGAATTGACCAAATCTGGATAACTAGAGGACTGGCTCCCAAGATTCGAAAAGCGGAAATATGCCCTAAAACTTGCTTCGACCATAATGCTGTGAGAATGGAGATGAAACTAACACCAACTGGTTCCTTTAGATGGAGGATGAATGACACCTTGTTTAGAGATGCAGAGGTTATTAAGAAGGCCCAAAAAACCTTGAGAGACTACTTTGAGATAAATATGAACACTACTATGGAAAAAAGAGTAATCTGGGATGCAAGCAAAGCGGTTATGAGGGGGTTTCTAATTCAACAGAATGCAATAAAGAAGAGAACTCAAAATGAGAAAAAAGATAAAATTTTGGAGAAAATAAAAGAGGGAGAGAGGAAATTGAGAGCGAAACCAAAGTCACAAGAGATTCTGAGAGAAATAAAGCTATATCAAGTCCAATATATGCAAATGATGAACCAGGAAATAGAATGGAAAATCAAACAGATGAGACAAAGGACATTTGAATCGGCTAACAAATGTGGGAAACTGCTAGCTTGGCAAATGAAAAAAAGACAAAAACTTAACACTATTACCAATTTGGAAGTGGAAGGAAAGAATATACAGAATCCAGTGGAAATTAGAAAATGTTTCCAGAGGTATTTTAAACAGTTATTTACACAAGGGCCACAGAAAGAAACTGATATAAATCAGTTTTTAAAAACAAATGGACTACAAAAAATCTCTCAAGAAAATAAGTTAATGTTGAGCTATAAAATAACAGAACTGGAGGTGGAAGGTGCCATCCAGAATATGCAGCTGGGCAAATCTCCAGGGCCGGATGGCCTAACCTCAAAATATTATAGATCTTTGAAAGATTGGATAATCCAACCACTAAAGGAGGTCTGTAATGAAATTTTGGAGGGGAAAAAGCGCCAGAGTCGTGGAAAGAAGCCTATATTACACTTATACTGAAAAATGAGTCTGAAAAGACACAACTTAAGAACTACCGCCCCATATCCCTGCTTAATGTGGATTACAAAATTTTTGCAGATATTTTGGCCAAAAGGCTAAAAAAAGTATTAGTGGAGGAGATACATAAAGATCAAGCTGGCTTTCTCCCGGGTAGACACTTGTCTGACAACACGAGGAATATAATAAACATTTTAGAGATGTTGCAAGTGAACATTAACACTAAAGCAGTCTTAATCTTTGTAGATGCGGAGAAAGCCTTTGATAATATTTCTTGGAGTTTCATGAAGAAAAATCTTCAGGGGATGGGGGTTGGTCAAGGGTTTGAAAATGGTATAGGTGCAATTTACTCAGAACAAAAGGCTAAACTAATAGTTAATAATGTGGTGACAGAGGAATTTAAGATAGAGAAAGGGACACGACAAGGCTGCCCAATTTCCCCATTGCTCTTTATTTCGGTTCTGGAGGTTTTGCTAAATATGATTAGAAGGGACCATCTGATTAAAGGTATACAGGTCGGAGCCAAACAGTACAAATTGAAAGCTTTTGCAGATGACCTAGTATTGACGCTACAGGATCCAGAATCTAGTACTAAAAGAGTATTGGATCTGATTCAAGAATTTGGTCAAGTGGCAGGATTTAAGCTGAATAAGTTAAAAACTAAGGTTCTTGAGAAAAATTTAACACCGATTGAGAAAGAGAGGTTTCAGAAGGAGACAGGGTTAACATTGGTCAAGAAGGTTAAATACCTGGGGGTGAACATGACCGCAAAGAACTTAAATTTATTTAAAGACAACTATGAGAAATGTTGGTCAGAAGTGAAAAAGGATCTAGAAATATGGTCAAACCTGAAGCTTTCCTTGCTTGGTCGAATTGCTGTTATAAAGATGAATGTATTGCCAAGAATGTTATTTTTGTTCCAATTGTTGCAAATTTTGGACAAAATGGATTGTTTCAAGAAGTGGCAGAAAGATATTTCTAGATTTATCTGGCAGGGCAAGAAGCCCAGAATAAAATTTAAAATATTAACTGATGTAAAGGAAAGAGGTGGATTTGCCCTGCCAGATCTTAAACTCTATTATGAATCAGCAGCATTTTGCTGGCTGAAAGAATGGCTGCTTCTTGAGAACACAGACATTTTGGATTTAGAAGGTTTTAACAATGTTTTTGGGTGGCATGCATATTTGTGGTATGACAAGGTTAAAGCACACAAAGCATTTAAAAACCATATTGTCAGGAAAGCATTGTTTAATGTCTGGATAAGATACAAAGATTTATTTGAAAATAAAACCCCAAGGTGGTTATCACCGATGGAAGCGAAGGCTCAGAAAAAAACTCAATATGGAGGCCAAATGGCCGAAATATTGGGAGATTTTGGAACAAGAAGATGACAAATTGAAATTGCAGAGTTTTGAGAAATTAAAAGATAAAGTGCGAGACTGGCTTCATTATTATCAAATAAGGGAGGCGTACAATATGGATAAAAAAATTGGCTTCCAGGTGGAATAATCAAAATTGGAAACAGAACTGTTAGAACCCAAAACTAAGATACTATCAAGAATGTATAACTTGCTGTTGAAATGGAATACGCAGGATGAAACGGTTAAATCTGCTATGATTAAATGGACACAAGATGTTGGACATGACATAATGTTTGCTGACTGGGAACAGTTGTGGACCACAGGTATGAAATTCACGGCATGTAATGCCTTAAGAGAGAATATTATGAAAATGATATACAGGTGGTACATGACACCAGTCAAGCTTGCAAAAATTTATCATTTGTCTGATAATAAATGTTGGAAATGTAAAGGGAATGAAGGTACATTCTTTCACCTTTGGTGGACGTGCCCAAGGATTAAGGCTTTCTGGGAGATGATCTATAATGAAATGAAAAAGGTATTTAAATATACCTTTCTGAAGAAACCAGAGGCCTTTCTCCTGGGCATGATCGGCCAATTGGTGCCAAAGAAGGATAGAACTTTCTTTATGTACGCTACAACAGCAGCAAGAATACTCATTGCAAAGTATTGGAAGACACAAGATTTACCCACTCTGGAAGAATGGCAGATGAAAGTGATGGACTATATGGAACTGGCGGAAATGACTGGCAGAATCCGAGACCAGGGAGAAAAGTCGGTGGAAGAAGATTGGAAGAAATTTAAAGACTATTTGCAGAAACATTGTAAAATTAATGAATGTTAAAATGATGTCGGATTGAAATTAAGCGGCCTTAGCAACAAGGTTAATAAGAATATGTAAAAATGGATTGATAACGGATGAAAATACAAAGTTATAATATGTTGAGATATGGAATTAAGATAAAAACAAAGAGGGTAAGGATTTGCTGGATTAACCATGTGAACGGGAATACAAAAAAGGGAGGTGTGAGGAGGTCGGGGAAATAAGTAAATGAAATCTAAGATATGAAAAGATTGATTTGTTTTTAACTATTTTTTATTTATTCTTTCTGTAGTTTGTATATTTTTTTTCTATGTATTTTTGTACTCTTTGTATTTTTCCTTTTTCCTTTTTTTTACTCTGTAACTTTTTTTTTCTTTTTGTAAAACTTTAATAAATATCTTTTTTTTAAAAAACAACACAAAAAACGTCAGTCCTGACACCCCGCTCCAGGATCAGGACGGTGGAAAGTTACTTTACTTTACACTCACTTCTGCAGGTTTAAACAGTCCGAAAAAATCCCCCCTCTTCTCCTGCTTCCAAAGGGGGGTTCAACAATTTTAAATGATGAAAGTTAATCTTTTACAAGCGATTTTCTGAGCTCTAGTTTGCAATGTCTTTGCTTTAATCTATCTACCAAGAAACGGAAGGCTGACTTCCTGTTTAGACCTTCCCGTTTCAGTGCCAAATTGAGGTAAACTTTTAAGTCCAATTTTCCTTTCTGCTCGCAAGTCCTTATTTAAAGTCCAATTGTCCGAAATTTAAGTACTCATGGGTGATTATTTTAGAAGCCAAATTGTCCCAGGAAAAAGGCAGCGCTCTCCGGCAACGGCTGTGCGGCTTTGCTTCACGGAAGAAGCAGTTGACTCTCAGCACCGCGCCACTTCCCCCTCTTCGCTCCGGAGCCCGTTAGTGGGTTCTTTTGCGGGTTGGGGGGGGCGCTAAAGGTGCCCGCCGAGTCCCATGGTCACAGGCTTCATCCGCCTGTGATTTTTGAAAGGGTCCCTGCTTCGCCGTAGCGGAAAAGACCCATTTCGCGTGGAGCTAGTCCCTCCAGATCAGAGTGAGTCCGCCATTGCCGATGGCGCCACCCTGGAAGTCCGACTTTTGAATTCATCTAAGCTATTCATCTGGGCAGGACATTCTTTCAAAGCTCAGGTTTCAGCATATAAATAAAGGGTTTCATGAAATACAATGTTTGTATGAAGGCATTCCTTAAAATAGCATTGCATTGCACCAAGGAAAAATGGTTTTAGAAAGATGTGAATGAGGATGTGAGTAATAAGGTTTGATGTTTTCTTGTAAGTGTTCACCCCACCCCATCCCCTTAAAGATGATGTTTGGCTATCTTTTAGAAGAGATATGTCTGAGTCAATGATAGCTTTATTCATCCAGAGTTTCAATTATATGTGAATGTCCTGTGTAGTGCTGCTCTTGAACATCTCTTAATCCTGGTCATGATCAAAAGGAACACACACCATCAAAAATGTTTTTGAGAGTATTCCACTCAGTGAGAAATTCGGATTATTTTTTTTCAAATTTCCAAGAACCTGGGGATTTGTGTGTGAGACACTTTTCGAAGGGCATCAGCACAATTGTTTGGAACTAGAGTTCAGATAGATCTTTCCTTCATTCACTCTTCAACTAGAAAGGCTCCCGCAATGGTTTACAGATCAATAAAAATACCCTTGGGGAGTTTTCCATTTAGCACCACACTAGATGTGATATTAAATGTGTATAAGCATTTAATGTGAGCTATTTTTGTTTTTTACTTAGCAGCTGCCATGGAGGGGGACCATCAGGACTCAAACTCAGGGGCAGGAGGGCTTTAACATTTGCCTACACTAGGGTCTGATGCCATTAGCTCTGGGAGGGAACCCTATGCTAGAAACTTCCATCCAGCATGCTTGCAAAAATTGGCTGCTGAGTTCCTGGCACCCTTGCATTATTTCTTTAGCTGCTACCTACAGGTTGTGATACCTTCCTAAATTATCTTTATAAGCATCTAGGTGAAAGAGGAAACCTCCCTAGAAGATGGCTTGAATAACTCCCCCCCCTTTTTTTTACCTCTCCCCAAACATACTGCATCCTGACCAAATTCTGCCAACTCTGCATGGCATAATTAATTTAATTTAAATCCCAGCTTTTCATCTAGCAAAGGAATACATGAAGAAGCATATTCTACCCATTTTTATAACTGTAAATATAAGCATAAAGCTAGACAAATTCAGAGTGAAAGCTTTGCTCAAGTCACTCCAGCTTGACTAGACTTTCAGCTATATAACAAGGAAATGCTCAGAGTTGGATACTACAAGGCTCCTCTTCCAGGAAGACTGGCGTTCTGAGAAGCAAAACAATTCTGAGGGATGGAGGGAGCATCCAGACTGCCCAAGCATTCATAATAATTTGTTCACATGGAGGTTCTATGATATTGCCAGCTAGTGGTTGTTACCCTGCTCTTTCCAGTGCAGTTTTTTAATCAAACTTACTGCAGTTAGAAAAGTGATGGGCTGGTGCAAGCTGGAATGTGTGCAGAGGAGGGAAACCAAGATGATCAAGGGTCTGGAAACCAAGCCTTACAAGAAGCGCTTGAAGGGGCTGGGTATGTTTAGCCTGGAGAAGAGGAGACTGAGATATGATAGCCATCTTCAGATATATTAAGGGCTGTCACATGGAAGAGGGAGCGTGCTTGTTTTCTCCTGCTCTGAAGGATAGGACTCGAGGCAATGGCTTCAAGTTACAAGAAAGGAGATTCCGACTGAACATTCGAAAACACTTTCTGACAGTAAGAGCTTTTCGGCAGTGGAACAGACTCCCACAAGAAGTGGTGGGCTCTCCTTCTTTTGAGATTTTTAAGCAGAAGTTGAATGGTCATCTGTCATGGATGCTTTAGCTGAGTATCCTATATTGTAGGGGGTTGGACTAGATGACCCCTGGGTTCCTTCCAACTCTATGATTCTATGATTCTAATTTCTAACTATGTTGTTTCCAAAGTTTCTGAAGTTTGAGCTGGTGAGAAGTGGTCAGCAATTCACAATAGGCACACAGAGAGATTGAAAATGTAAGTAGCTGAAACGTAGAAGCATTGGATAAATTACTGCAATCAACACAGGCTTTCATGAATCAAATACAATGGATAAATACAACTGTTTTATAACAATTTGTTGACCCATACGAATGAAATGAGTTTCTTCTTTTGTCTCTTCCCCATTGATGTTTGTTAAATATAAAGAGAACCTGGTAAAGCATTCACAAGGCTATCAGAAAAGAAAGCACAATTGCCAATAAGAAATGTGATTAGATTGCATGCCGTATCCAACTGATTGATTGTTAAATAAATGCACAGCAATTCCACCAATCTTTGATTTGTTTAATATATGTTGTGTCTTCAGCAGATATTTATGCTCTGGTAGTCTTAAGGCTGGGCATGAACTATTGAAAACAACTACTGAATGCAAAACTGCATCAATAGCAAAAAGAACTGTTTCATTGTTGACAGTTTTGTGTTGCACAGAGTAGGATATTGAAACTTTTCATAAAAGTAAGGCAATGGATATAGATGTGAATCTGCTGTTTCTTGAAAGGGGCCTATTCATGCTGCTAGATATTAACCAAACCAAAGCCAAAATCCTATGTAGAGAGGTTTGCATTAAGTTTGCTCAAGAGGTTTGTCTTTAGAAAATGTGGCTCAGAGAGTGTTCAAGGCTAATGGATGACTTATCCTGGAAACCCAAGCAGTGATCTCTCATGGCAGGAAGATGAAACCTGAGAACTCAGCATCTTAGTTAGTCGTTGGTGCCAGCAGCATTATAAACTCCAGGTGAGCAATCTTAAACAAGCAAGATGCTTGCATAGGATCTCTCTCTGGGAGCAGAGAGAGGAAAGTTACCGAACTACATTAAGGATTTAAAGAATGCAGAATCACATTTGTTTGCTTGTTTAAAAGCAATGTATTATTTTTTATTTTGCAACATTTAATTGTAACTGTTTTAAGACTGTTTCCAGTAAAGTTTTGCAGTTGTTTGTTGTGATGGAGAACATTCATTTCTGCTCTGCAGAAAGTGCAGACCAGGGATTCTGCTTGCAACAACTCTAACAGTGCATGTGTAATAGAAAACCAAAGAAAAGTGTTTGCGTGCATATTTGCTAAGATATTCACTACTGCAGTATTAAATGTGCATATTTTGCTTGTGCATGCGTTCAGTAAATATCCCCATATTAAGACCTGTGTGACTAAGTTACCAGATTAATCTCCCAATATGTGCCGTCATCACTAGAGATTCTAATTCACGAGACTCTTAAAATGTGTGAAAACCCATCTACCAAAGAAGCTCGCTCACACCGGTTAAACGTGTACAAGACTGCAGCTCAACTTTTATTATTCCAGACAAAATAGAACCAAAGAATTCTAGAGTTTGAAGGGACTACAAGGGTCATCTAGTCTAACCCCCTACAGTGCAGGAATCTTTCTCACCAACATGGGAATTGATCTCCTGGCCTGAGATTAAGAGTCTCAGGCTCTACCGACTGAGCCATCCCCTGCCTTCCATGATGCCTCTTTCCTTTAAACATGTACAGAAAAATCCCCTCTGAAATGAAACATCTAATGGACTAAATGCCTGACATACAGAGACAGCAGCACAGGGGATCTACCGCTAGTTTATGAGCACCAGGCTCATGAAAACCGTAGCTCCAAAAAGGGTGAAGTAGCAGCCATTATTGTTACCTTGACCTTGTTTATCTCCTTTGACCTCAGCAGCATCCTTTGTCTTTTGAAAAGTACATTACTTAGCACCATGACACATTGGCCTAAATACAGCTCTCACATGAATACGCAGGAGACCTTTTGCTGGCAAGCGACAGAAGTGTGGAAGCAGTAGATAACTTCCCCTCAGTTTATTAGGAAGAGGTCAAACCTTAATTGCTACTTCCAGTGCTGTGTTAATGTAATGTATAGGACTGCACTGCTAGCCATTCTTAAAGGCCTTCCTGGCATCTGAGAACTATGACTGCACAGAGCCAAGAATCGAAGGAGGCCAACATATGGCTTTAGCATCAGCTCCATTCTCCTCAGCTTCCGAATTGTTACTTTGTTTCTATGATAAATAATTCATCCCAATAAAGATAGAACTGCCAAGGGCCTTATCTGGCATTCCCATCGTATGGAGCAAAGTGGTCTCAGAGTACATCAATGAGGCAAATAATTGAAGTGGAGGGAATTTAAGTACCATACTTATTCTGAGCACCAGCAAAAATTCTGCTTTGGGAACTTACAATAATTGCAGTTAGAAGAGCATGAAGTCCTTGGTTGACTATCCAGTACTACTGGTTTCTATGGGAATTGAATGCAGAGTAATTGTTATTACTTAGTAGCCATTCAGTTACACCATTGATCCTGAAAGAACATAATTTTTCATCAAAAAACCCCTTAAGCTCTTAAGATGCCTAGCCTTTTTGTTCTTCTCCAGCCCGTTCTTAAAAGGTTCTTTTAAATAAAGCTCATTTTTGAAAATGTGCCACAAACATGAGCTTAAGAACTTTTAAAAATTTGACCTGGTAATGAACATGGGACTTTTAATTTTGTCAGAAAAATTACAGAAACCTGTCTCAGATGAAGTACAAAACAGATCCCTTTCTTTGTGTAAATATTTACAGCTTTATACGTTTAATTCATAGGAAAGCACCAATACTGCATCAGTCGTTTAGAGTAGTGGTCCCCAACTGGTGGTCTGCGGACTGCAGGGGTCTATGTAACCCACCCAGGGGGGTTGTGGCACCAGTTACATAACAAAAACTACCACAGAGATACCAACCTTTCCAAAAGTAGGAGGTCCATGGCTTGGCTTTTGAAAAGCAGGGGGTCTGCAGTACTTACCTAATCGGGAGCAGCTGCTCTAGAGGATGTGATTGACACATCACAATGAGGGTCCTATTTTGGATGTCATGTGTGTCAGAGCTGTGGGCGTCTCTCCTCACCACAGATGCCACGGGAGCCTCTTGACGTTTTTATAGTCTTTATTTACAATATTTACAATGGATCATTAGCACATCGTTCATCCATCAGAGTCACTCAGTTCAGATCTCTGCTGAGGCCTGCGTTTGCCTCTCCAACAGCTCATAAAATGGTGAAGTTTCCCGCTCCATCCTCCTCTTTACCACACACCTCTCGAGGCGGCCGTAAACCTCCCCCCAGATTCTGAGCCTGAGCTTAACCCCTGTGAACTTTCCGTCTCCCCAGCCCTTCTGGGCTTATTCCAATCTCTCTCTCTTTGTTGCCTCCCTCCCCCTCGGGCACCTCGTCCACATCTTCCGCTCCCAGGCTTCCCCCTCCCTCTGGGGAACATGAGACTCTGGTTCATCCCTGACAATGTGCCTGTTTTCGTTGGGTAGGAATTCAACATAGTTCTAAGTGGGGTATGCGTGCCAGGTCTGCTTGAGCAATGGGACTTCCTCCACCTCCTTCTCCCATGAGTCCCCACACAGTCCCTAAACCTATTATGGGGCTTTCCCCAATCCCTAGGAGCAAATTTAGAGGGCACAAGTAGCACATGGGAGGAAGGGATAGAGGAAAATCCTGCCGTGCAAGCGAAAGAATGGTTTTTAAAAATTGTAGAAATTTCCAGCATAACCGTAGTTTGAAAAAGGAATGTGTTTTGTTTAATAATGGTGTCAGCAACATGGTGCCCTTGAAAATGTCCTCTGATTTGTGCTGTGCAGTCTATCAATGTAAGCTTTAATTTCTGCGTAAAATAATGCTAGTTAGAGGTTCTATTTTGACACTACTGGCTTTTACTCAGACCTAGAGTTGGGGAAGAAATTTGATTCAGTTCACACTTTGAGGTCATTATACTCAAATCTCACTTTCAGAAATGGTAGGCAATCCAAAACACATCCTACCTTCAAAATGAGTCTTTCTCTGAATTTTGCAATGCAGTTCTCCAGCCAAAATGTACAAAAATGTCTATAGATACTGTGGTAAAGTATCCATATAAATGCACATATTGGTGGAAATAACATACCAAAATGCATTATTTATGAGGAAATTGCCTTGCAAAGATGTGTACATTAAGCAAAATATAATACAGCATATGCAGATTAGGAGAAATTCACATTAAAATGGTGAATTTTCATGAGGGATTCTTATTTTTAGGTGCAAAGTAATGCGGAAATGTGGAGAACTGAATCTAAGATTAGAAAAATGAGCAACTGAAAAGAATGTCTCTTTCTGTCTATTGTGGGGATGATGGGAAGGAGGGAAGCAACCCAATGGCAGTTTCTCAAATTTCCAAATGTACCCAAGGCACCCTCCCCCAAGTTTGATGATCCTTGGTTTAATCCATGATTCATGAGGCCCATAATAATTTTAGTATGTGTGTTTGTGTGTGTATTTCTTTCGATTTTTGCTTAAAACTCTGTAGACCATGGCAAATTTTAATCCTTACCCCCCCCCCAAACAAATAAACCATTAAATATTCATTAACTGGAGCACTTAATTTCTCCTGTCTCATTATAGAAAAAGAGAAAAACAAGCAACTGATTTCTCTGAGGAAATTCAAGTAAACATTATTTTAATGTATGGATGACAATGAAATGGGGTATGTAAAATTAGAAAGACGAGCAATTAAATCCGAGAGCAAACTTAATGAATGTTTGGTAGTGGCCAGACATTGTCTCTGAGTGCCAAGATAAAACCAGATGAAATTTTGCTAGATTAGATGTTGTTTGCAACATTGGAGTTGTTGGATTCCAACACAGCAACCAGCAAGTAACATCCTTGAAAACTGACCTTTTAAGTAACCTGACTAGTGATGTCATGAGAAATCAAGTCGTGTCTGTGAGTAGAATCAGGACAAGAAGCATAGCCCATGTTGATCAGACTGCCCTCTGTGCCCTTGATTTTGCTCCTATATGCTTCAACACTTGATGTGCCAGTCCTTGGTCACACACTGACAGAATACCTCAGACATTTGCCTGAACTGGGCTAGCGAAGGCACACAGTGGCAGTGCAGATTGGTTGTTTGCAGCTAGCTAGTATACATTCTCTGTCTGCCTCACAGTAGATTATTGTTCTTCCTTGGTGACAGAAAACAAAATACATTTCCTGAGGCTGTTCTTTTACTGACAGGCACTTGCTTGCGCTATGTGCAGACACTTGAGCTTCTGACTGAGAATGCAAGATGTAGATTTATAGGATGTGTAAAAGAGAGAAGGTTTCGGCTGGATTCCAGCTTCACTGTGAACATTATTTTTTATTGTTGTTATAAAAGGAATATTATAAAATGTTAGCAACATGAGGACCTATGCTGTTTTGATGGAAGTAACATTGACTGGAAAAGTAGATGTGACATCCCTAAACCTTTTGGAAGAGGAGATTTCAAGGGTACCATTTGGGCTGGGTTTTATTTTAATCGCTGCTTCTTCTCTGTGCTGCACCATTTCATTTTCCCCTTTCAGCTTGACCTAGTTGACATCTGCAGCAGACACTTTATCAAAGACCAGATCACAAGAGACACACAAAATGGTGCCAGAAAGTCTGAGCCAATATCACATCTTTCTCTGTGGCAACACAGATGGAAGGCCTGGCATAAGTTCATATGAAACAGAGGGTCTGAAACACTCTATGGGAAATTTGCCAGAGTCTCAATCTTGTGTTGGACAGTGCAGTAAATGTTCTCAGAGTTTAGTGTTTATGTGCCCTGACATATTGCTCATCTGACAAGCATCCCTGCATAAAGCCTACAGGTTTCAGAATATGTTAGTCTCTGGAACCTAAATATTGCATTCATTACCATAATCATGATGCAATTCATACATTTTGGAACCCAAATATCATTACTATTACCATAATCATTGGTAATTCCTACATAAACCTGCTTTAAAACAGCCATATGCTAACAGTTCCGTATTCCAAAATTGTGGAGGCTAGTTATGGCCCTCTCGGGAAGCAGACGGAGGTGAGGCATACAGTGCCAGATCTGTATTTTTTGCTGAAGGGGGCATAATTCAGCACTGCCACCCCACTCTCCCTGACTGTGAACTATGAAAGATGAATTCTTTAAAGTGCTAACTGGTGCCTTTCAAAGTTCCTCCAAATACTAATTGCCACCCCACCCCCTAAGTACTGACAAAACATCTTCTGGAAGCACCTTGCCTCAAGGTAGATGTATGGATGGTGGATTTTTCCCTTAAATGCAATGACATGGTTAAAATCACATCTAGCTTGGCCTTTCAATGAGGGCTGAACTCATCAATGATCCAGTTCAGTAAAAGGCTTCATAAAATAAGTTTATACTCTGGATATACTTTGAAACAGTCTTATTATACCACATGTTCCATGCTGATCCCTGGCATGGAAACCAGCCCTGGTAAGACTTAGCTCAAATTAAGTTCTGGTCTGTGTGTGTGTGTGTGTGATAGAGAAGCCTTCACCCACCTGGTGTCCTTGGAATCTTTTGGACCACAAATCCCATCAGCCCCATCCACCACAATGGAGCTAGAGTTGGATCTGTCATCCGAAACATCCAGAGGACACCAAGTTGATGAAAGCTGTGATAGAGGGTGGTTTTCTTTTTCAATTAAAACTGGCAAAATTATATATAGGCCTAGTCCTGAGGGAATCAGGGGTGGGAGGGAGATGGGTTAAGTAGAAATGTACAGTGTAAGTCTTATTTTCTCTGTGTGTAGCCCTCTCCAACATGCAAAGAGGCACACATGAAAAGGAGATCACATTTACTTTAAGCACTGCACATCTTTAAATATGGAACAAAAATGTCCAGTGGTGCTTTAAGTGGAATTGTGTTACCAAAGCCAGATGTGGTATACATCTTTCCCTAAAAGAGAGGGTAGAAATGGCCTAAAGGGTATGTGCAAGGAGTCAAGGTCATCCCACATCCCAGTAATGATACTTAATCGATAGAAACAGGGAGATTTTCTTAATGGTTAACAGCTTGATATATTTCTCCTTTTCCGGCAACCCAAAGTAACCCATACTCTTAATCATGTCCCAAAGATGCCTAAGGGGGGAGTTGGTCTTTTGCAGGGGGGAAGCACTTTTCAAAGTACCAAATGCTTGAGAATGGAAGAAATTGTTTCAGAGTCATTATCAATAGCTCACTCTCAAAAAGTTCATTTAGTGACCATTGCAGAGAGAAGCTCACGGGGGCAGCTGTGTCCGGCATGACCTAATGCTTTTTGAGATAAGTACAGCTATTGGAAACCAATCAGAAACACATCAGAGGGTAATTACGGTGCATTGCTGGCACCTGATATAATGTGTTTTCAAGGCAATAGAGCTTAACAAAAGGGACAACTATATTCTGCACTGATATGTTGATCAAGATTTTAAGGTAAAAGTATGAAGGTGTCTTAAGCCTGATCTTACTTTATCTTATGTGTGTGTGTGTGTGTGTGTGTAGGATCGAGTATGTGTGTACAGGATGGAGTGTGCATGCATTTCCTTTATTCTGTTAAATAATGCACCTTTATGTAACTATCTCCAGAACACCTAGAAGCCAGTGCATCAGATTTGTTATGCTGCCAGTCGCCACCGTTGCACAACTGGGTCTGCATCACATTTGGCATCTTGATATTGAGGAAATATGGTGTGTGATAATGACAGAAGGGAAGATTCTCATATATTGGTACGCTAAAGATTTCTCACCTACATTGGCTCAACCTGGGACTGGAAAAGCATCAAAGGCAATAGCAGCTTGGACTTTCTGATTGGCTATCATTGTCATGTGGCACAGGAAGCCAGTATGCAGGTCATTGCAATCATGATTGATGGGGAACAGAACCTTTGGCACAGTCACTTTGGAAGTCCTAGCGGGGGAGTTCCTGGTGATTATGTACCAGGAATAGGAGTGCAAGCACAAGTGGTTGCCTCGCAACCACATCCACTATGCTGCTTATGCTTTTCACCCTCTGAAACTGGCAAAAGGGCTGGATCCCTCATATTCACTGAAATAATTTGAGGACCACCTTTTAAAAGTACATATTTTGGAGGTGAAAGTGAAAAGAGAGTGTGTGGGTGTTCTGGAGTAGGTGCGCATCAGCAAAGATGACTCAAAGCTCTTGGCAGTATGCGAGCACCAAGTACCCAAACTGATGTCCAGGAATTAAGGGACTTGTTCCATTCCACTATTGAACTCCTGATATCCTGCTGTACATTCTGCAAAAAAATCTGTTAAACAGACTTTGATCTTAAGATCAATCTCCGAGGTCAACATGCAGCATTATAGATTCTTTCTATACATTTGCCAAAGGTTGTGCATTTTTGTGTTTTCTTACGTTTTGATGAATTGTATTTCGTTCCCCTGTTTTAATTGGATTCCCACAAAAAAACACACCATAAGGGTTGTTTTTGCATCATGCTGTACACATGTTTGTTCAAGTGGTTGCACACATGGTCCACTGAAACATCACACATGGACTGAACTGCTCAAGAATATAGATCACAGTTTGGTTGTACAGATGCCCATGTGTCCCTGTGCAGGATTGGGTGTTGTATTGTGTTCTACAATTTGTCCTAGACTGCAATTCCAAATGAATTTACTAGAGTGTAACAAAATGGGACTTCAGAGTAAACCGTGAATTGTGCAGCTAGAGAAGGCTCTGTAAGGCTGTAACAACTGGACTGCAATATATACACTCACATGGAAGGGATTATATTTTGTTGTTGTGTAGTCGTTTAGTTGTGTCCGACTCTTCCTGACCCCATGGACCAGAGCACGCCAGGCACTCCTGTCTTCCACTGCCTCCTGCAGTTTGGTCAAACTCATGCTGGTAGGTTCAAGAACACTATCCAACCATCTCATCCTCTGTCGTTCCCATCTCCTTGTGCCCTCCATATTTCCCAACATCAGGTTCTTTTCCAGGGAGTCTTCTCTTCTCATGAGGTGGCCAAAGTATTGGAGTTTCCGCTTAAGGATCTGTCCTTCCAGTGAGCACTCAGGGCTAATTTCCTTAAGAATGGATACGTTTGATCTTCTTGCAGTCCATGGGACTCTTAAGAGTCTCATCCAGCACCATAATTCAAAAGCATCAATTCTTCGGCAATCAGCCTTCTTTATGGTCCAGCTCTCACTTCCATACATCACTACTGAGAAAACCATAGCTTTAACTATACGGACCTTTGTTAGCAAGGTGATGTCTCTGCTTTTTAAGATGCTGTCTAGGTTTGTCATTGCTTTTTTCCCAAGAAGCAGTCGTCTTTTAATTTTGTGGTTGCTGTCACCATCTGCAGTGATCATGGAGCCCAAGAAGGTAAAATCTCTCACTGCCTCCATTTCTTCCCCTTCTGTTTGCCTGGAGGTGATGGGACCAGTGGCCATGAGCTTCGTTTTTTTGATGTTGAGCTTCAAACCATATTTTTCGCTCTCCTCTTTCACCCTCATTAAAAGGTTATATACATACATGCAAACATTCTTTTCAATAGGAGTCACACTGTACCATGCTGGAAGCTGTTTTTGAGACTTGTAGAGGAGCAGCTTAGAATGTGGTGCAAAGAAATATTAGCGCCCAAAATGAAAGTCGTTGGGAAAGTATGCTCATTTCCAACTATTAAGGTTAGTGTTAGTTCAAGGTTCATTTCCAGATGATTTCCGTTGCTTCAAAGTTAAATGCAGAAAAGACCTTTTAAATCAACCAGGCCATCTGCCTCCCAAAGCAGATATTCCCTAATGTAAAATTACACTTTGTCCAGTGCATGTTTCATTGTCCTGAGTGATGACACTTTTACTTCCTCCTCTGGAAGATGCTCACACAAATGCTTAATAGAACACAAGGTCACTACATTTGGATTTGTGGCCTTCGTTTTCATTTTCTTAATATTATCAAATTACTCCAGTGATATACTGAGGACCAGAAGACTCATTCTAACACACACACACACCCCTAAAACCCCCCACAGTCCTTTGGCCGTTTTTGACTAGAATACTAGTGCTGTCATCAGCGTACTTCTGGTGAGTTACCATATTGACAACGCCAGGGCTCTTTAACAGCCCAAATTCTGTATCTGCATAGGCAGCACTATAACCCATTTCCTCCTGCCATCCAAATATGGGGGACATGTCCTTAGTCCTATGATTGACTGGGACTAGTATATGAGCCAAAACAGGTGAGAAATCCACATGGCTTTCTTTCTGTGATTAGCACAGTAGTGTTTTAGGAGTAAAGGTGGTTCACTTTTCTCAAAGACATGTACAATACTCTAATTTGTAGTCAGCAGCCAACACTCAGCTTTTGGGGACCTAAATCAGCCTGCTAGAGATGGGGAAGAGATTTGAAGTCAAATCTATCAAATGCACACTTTTTGAAATAATGTGAGAACCAAAGTGTAGCCATTCTTCAAAATCCAGACATCCAAATTTTGTGGTGCAGTTCTTCAACCAGACAATGTTTACAAAAATGTATTATATTAGAAAAAAATTGCTTGCAAAAATATGTACTTTAGTTGAAAATGTGTTTATTAGGAGAAAATGCTTCAGATTTTCATGAGGATTTTTTTTTTTAACCAATACTAGATAGCTCAGTTGGTTAGAGTTTGGTGCTGATAATGCCAAAGCCACAGGTTCAGTCACCATACGGGACAGCTGCATATTTCTGCAGGAGGTTGAACTAGATGGTCCTAATAGATTCTATGAATCACAACTTGCTTCAGAAAGGTGCAGAACTGAATTTAAGATTCTTGGAAAAACTAGAAACTGAGAGAACTAGAACTGGCAGACCCATCCCTAATTCTTCTTTTAAATCCTGTTCCTTCATGTCAGTTGAGTGACTGCATTGATCAATATGTCAAAGTTGACAGCACTTACCATCTGTTTGGTGGGAGAATCCTGGCTCATCCTGCTATTATGCAAGAATATCTCTAGATCAGCATCTGAGTCCATCCACATTTTCTGGCTCTGTACTGTGTGATCCACAGGTCAGGAAACTCAGTTATAGTAAAACACAGTTGTATTTTCCACTTTAGTATCAATGGTCAACTATGAATTCAAGTTCTTGCCAATATAATTCATTATTTCCTCTTCTAGAGTTATTATTGCCTTAAATTACTTCAAGGTTCATCTTCAAAATGTGAAGTGTTGCTTTTCTTAATGCTTCATCTCTGTTCTAGAAATCTATAAGGATTAACATGAATATTTCCATTGTAGTGAAATAAGTTTATGACAACAGAAGTGCCATCCTTATTCAAACAAGGTAGAGGAGGTTAGCTATGTTCTGAATTATTCTCATTATCTTAATTTTTACTTGATTATTCATTAGGTAGTTGTACTTCTTCAAAAGACAAGGAAGAAATGTAATGGTACTTTTGATTTTATTATATAAATGATTGCAGAGATCTGCTTCTATTGACACCAGAAGGAACACAGAAATCCTCCTCCTTTCTAGTCATGCATACAATTTATCACTTTTAAATGTCACCACATACTGTATATAAAACACATTCTCTTTGTGAGACTGTAAATGTATATGTGGAGGAACTGTAACATTTCAAAAATGTTTTGCAGCTGGGTTTTTGCTGAAGTCAGTAAAATCATATGATTTTTAACACTAAGTTTCCTTGCTTTGAAATTTTGACGGGGGATCTTAGTGACTTGGCCACAAATATTTAGTAGGGGTCGTAATGTTCTTTGCAATAATGGAACTTGCACTTGAGCTGAGCCCTGTTCACTTGCTTGTGCTCATTCACAAGCTCTGCAATTTGATCAGGTTCATGCAAGTGTTGGTAATAGCTAATGGAACAAATTTCTTTGCTCTTGAAAAAAATAAGGAACTGGCTAGCAACTTATTGAACCATACCATTATAATTGTGCCACCCATTTCTATGTCAAGTCCGTGGTGCTGCTAAAATGTGTATTCCATTGAACTCTGTTCAGCTGAGGTGATGATAGTCACCACTAACACTCATTGTTATGTTTCTGTTCCTGTCTCCTGATCTTATGTGTGGGCGAGGGGGGGGGGGAGAGATGTATTGCTTAATCTGGGTGCTCTCTCTCTCTCTCTCTCTCTCTCTCTCTCTCTCTCTCTCTGCAAAGGTCTTACAGAGACACACACACTTTGCCATGAAGTACAAAATGTTGTTGCTTTCACTAATGGCTGACATTAAAAAAAAATACAATTTATGTATTTTACCAGGTTAGTCAGTTATCCATTCCTAACCATGTATATTCAGCAGTAAGTCCCATTTAAATTAGTTGTGCTTACTTTCAGATAAGTCAGGTTAGGAATCCAGCCTTACTGCATTTTTTTAAAAAGCTACTGCTAAGTATTACAGAAAAACATCAACTGCCTCTCTTCCCTGCTCCTCTTTACTATTTTATAGCGTGCCTTGATACCAAATTAAGAAATAAAATTTACAATAATAATTTAAAAAATATGGGACTGTGTCCTTGTTGGTATTACGCAATGATGAAAACAAAGACTCCACAAGACAAACAAATTACAACACCTCTAGATGGATACCTTGTGACTGTAGGAAACAATTAACAGTAAAACTGCAAATAGTGAAATGCATTGCATAAGGAGTTTTTGCAATGGAACCCGGAAAATTAAAATCAATTATGCCATTTTTGAAAAATGTGAAGGACTGAGCTGACATGCATTTTATGAACTGTAGACTCATAAAGAAGAAATTATGGGTACATGAATGTGAACCCCATCTCTAATACTTAGACATTTGTAGTTGTTTGCTTTACTTTTAGAAAAAGCTCATGAATTGGAAAGTAACGATCTGTTTATACTTGTTCTGTAATGCACAAGAGTATGGGATTTTGCCTTGATTTAATTGAATGTGCATCTGACTGATGAACACAATCCATGATAGATGGTTTGCATCTATCAACATATATCAACAATAGTTATTCGGTATAATGTTTTTCAAGTTAACAGAAAACTTTTTGGAAGGACTTGAAAACACTTTGTGTGGGGTTTTTTTATTTGAGTTTTTTCATTTGTGGGGTTGCTCCCCATGGACCTCTCCATTGAAAAGTTATCATGTAACTTCTGGACACAAAGAACCAATTTGACAATGCAAATATCAATATGCAACTCATATTGGAAAAATGAGTTTTTCTCTCCCATAGACAGCATTGAACCAACTAGGTGTCCGGATAGCTTTTCTGCAATATTATTTGCTCTCTCTGGAAACAGCTGCTATTAATCACAGACTAACTTCTGGGTGGCTGTTCCGCAAGATAAAAACCAATGCAGCTTTCCCGGAGTGGTCTGTAGCTATCAAAAAGCTAGAATCAGCTCCAAACAGCTTTATGTTTATCACATTAGTTAAATGTGTGCTGCATGTATTACCCACTGGAAAAAACCCCAGACCTAATATTAGCAAGCATGAGACTGAATTACGTACAGTAACTTCTCGGAACATACGCTTAAACAGATGGGTTGAGCTCATTGAAATTTTGTGTTTTAGGAATATATGCTTGACTGCCTCTTAACACCATCTAAAAATACATGTGATGCCTGTGTGTAAGCAAGTGCTTGACAGACTGAGCAGATGCTGTTCACTGGAGTCTGTTAACCTGTTTGCTTAACCTTTCTATTTAATTGGAAGAAATGTTTTGCTTAAAAAACACACCCCACCACCAGCCCATCTTGGTTAGGTTACATATTGTCAGTGAACCTTTCATTCAAATCAAGGGCAACCAAACATGCTTTTGCCTCTACCTGCTTGCCTTAAACCTTTCCATAGCTTGTATTTCATTCATTTATGCTTTTGTTCTGTAATTACTGGCTGACTGTTCTCATGGAGTTTAGTATTAATATTCCTGGCTGCCTGATCAATGAAATATTGCCAGAACCAAAGGCAGCAAAAATACAATTATCATGCACCATTGAAGAGAATCCACATGCAGAAATGGCCCAAGTTATTTGATGCCCGAGGTAGGAAATCCAAATGGTAACCCCAGGGTAATAATAATAATAATAATAATAGGGCAATAACAACAACAACAACAACAACAACAACAAAGTAACTTCAATAATTACACTTGACCTATTTTGCTGGGGGGGGGGGGAGTAAGAAAAAAAAATATGCGGGCTCTTGGGGATGAAGGCTCCCTGCTGCCCTGTGGAGGCTTCCCGGGCTACCCCAGAGCTGCTCAACCCAAAGAGCATTTTTATTATATTTTTTCTGATTGTGATGCAGGCTGTGAATTTGATATCATATTTCCGTAATTTCTCCCTTTGGTCTAATCTCTGGCCCACCTAATCATAACTTCCTTCACCTCTTCGTCTTTTAATTCCCATTCTAATAATAGATTATACATTTTAGATAATATCTTTTTAGGATTTTTTAATAACTCTGTTTGTAGTTTTGATTCTTCTTTGCCAAATCCGGTAAGTTCCTTTGCCTTTTAATTTTCAGTATGCACTTTCTCACTCTTAAGTCCTTTTATAGAGCTTTCTGGTCACAGCTTTATTCGCCTCCTTCAGCCTTATTTCGTCACTCCGTCTTTGTTATTTTCCCGTAAGAATTCAACTCTCCCTTTCTATTAATTTTTGTTATTTCATCTTCGGAAATACGGGAGTGCGTTTGTACCCACCATCTGCCATATGGAGTAACCTGGTGCTTTTCTCCTTGGGGTCTCGGGGCGTTTCATGGTCAGGCTTGCGTCCTTCTTGCGCTGAGAGCCCTCTGACTTCCTCCACTTAAACTGTGCTGGAACAACAGAGGATCCCTTTCTTCACTGCTTGGTGCCTTTTTCGGTCTGAGACCTCCTCTCAGACCTTTCTAGGGGTTCACGTCACCCTTACTCCCCCTTATTTTGCCCGTTCACCGTGACTGGGAATGCTGCACCGAGGCAGAGCGAATTCCCCAACCCACCACTTGAGAACACCACGCCAGAAGCCGCCTGGCTCAGATATTCAAAGCTTATAATATTCACCTCAAAATAAGCTAGGAAAAACAGTGTTGTTTTTGTTGTCATCCCCCATCCAAATTTATACTAAATGGAGTTCTCCTTGTTGCTGGTGATAATGTAACTGTGATCACATTGGTTGTGCGCAAGTGATGCGGATCATTGGGGTAATAGAATCCCTGCTTATGTAAAGTTCGGCCAACCTAGTTGCACACATATAGAATATTTCCATTGCATAGTGATGACCACTTACTGTAATACAAATACAGTATTATTACAGCCTCAGGGTTCTGTCCTCTCCCCCATGCTTTTCAACATCTACATGCAGCCGCTGGGAGAGATCATCAGGGGATTTGGGCTGGGTGTTCATCAGTATGCGGATGATACCCAGCTCTACCTCTCTTTCAAATCAGAACCAGTGAAGGCAGTGAAGGTCCTGTGTGAGTGCCTGGAGGCGGTTGGAGGTTGGATGGCGGCTAACAGATTGAGGTTGAATCCTGACAAGACAGAAGTACTGTTTTTGGGGGACAGGAGGCGGGCAGGTGTGGAGGATTCCCTGGCCCTGAATGGGGTAACTGTGCCCCTGAAGGACCAGGTGCGCAGCCTGGACTCACAGCTGTCCATGGAGGCACAGGTCAAATCTGTGTCCAGGGCAGCTGTTTACCAGCTCCATCTGGTACGCAGGCTGAGACCCTATCTGCCTGCGGACTGCCTCGCCAGAGTGGTGCATGCTCTGGTTATCTCCCGCTTGGATTACTGCAATGCGCTCTACGTGGGGCTACCTTTGAAGGTGACCCGGAAACTACAACTAATCCAGAACGTGGCAGCTAGACTGGTGACTGGGAGCGGCCACAGAGACCACATAACACCGGTCTTGAAAGACCTACATTGGCTCCCAGTACGTTTCCGAGCACAATTCAAAGTGTTGGTGCTGACCTTTAAAGCCCTAAACGGCCTTGGTCCAGTATATCTGAAGGAGCGTCTCCATCCCCATCGTTCTACCCGGACACTGAGGTCCAGCACCGAGGGCCTTCTGGCGGTTCCCTCACTGCGAGAAGCCAAGTTACAGGGAACCAGGCAGAGGGCCTTCTCGGTAGTGGCGCCTTCCCTGTGGAACACCCTCCCACCAGATGTCAAAGAGAACAACAACTACCAGGCTTTTAGAAGACATCTGAAGGCAGCCCTGTTTCGGGAAGCTTTTAATGTTTGATGTATTATAGTATTTTAATATTCTTTTGGAAGCCGCCCAGAGTGGCCGGGGAAGCCCAGCCAGATGGGCGGGGTATAAATAATAAATTATTATTATTATTATTATTATTATTATTATTATTGAAGAAGTGCTGAAATGGAGAGTAACACAAAAGGCACCAAGAGGATCATAACAATCTCCACCAGCCTGCTATAATGTCAAGCAGACTCAAACTAAATTAAGCAACTGTTCAATTTATTTGTGTTAAGACTCAAGTTCTGTCTCTTTGGAACAACTACACAGGAATCTTGAAAAGCAATATGTGCTTCTTTTCACTTGCTTTACAGTGTTTGGGTCATATATCGGTTGAAAATTAGACAGCAAGCAACACATTTCCTTTTTTCATTACAGTGCTGGATATAAAAATACTGAATAGGGCAAAGGACTGATGTTAAGAGGCACCGGCTGTGTGCATATTGTGGCATAAATACTATAATGCTAGCTATTCATTAACAATGTTAATTAAATGCCTTCAAATAACCTGATTTATAATGAACAAGAACATTGAAGTATTTCTGCCCTTGCTAATTTCAGCTTGTTGCATGCTATATTATTGTATATAATTAGGCAACAGCCAGGAATTATAACCTGAAATGCTTATTACCGGAAAAAGGACAACTGATGCTATTTATATCAACTGATGTCAGTTATATCAGGAAAGAACTTGTTGAAAAGATGGTGTTAATTTAATTTTTGCTTGATTGTGAGTGTGGTCATGATACCTATCATATATTTTGCATGGTTTGCTTAACAAGTATCAACAACTGTATGCTATATTTGGATCAAGAATGATTGACAGTCAGTTTTACTCCAACAGTTTTACTCAAACTATGAACTGCTGTAGCTGTTTCACAGTGTGCCCAAATCCGCATCAAATCCCCTCCACTTCTGTAGGGTTAATCTCAGATCCTTTAAATAAACTAAGTTTTCACACTGCTGTGAATTCCCATTTCTAAGTTTAGGGACATTCTTATTCCTTTTACATTCCACCAACCCCAGAGACATCTCATGAAAAGCTGATGGTTTCTTTAAATAAATTTGCTGTTGTTGTTGACATTGTGCCTTGGGAACACCTGTTGGTAAGGCTTTGGGGAGCCAACTGAAGACCCAAGCAGTCCTCATTCTCCCATCACTGTTGTTGGATGGTAGATTTGCAGAAATGTGAAAGGGAAGGGAACAGCTTGGAAATTTTTTACTTTCCTTACAAGCCTACCCAAACTTCGATTATTATTATTTTTTTACAAGTCCTCTCACCTTCTTACCAAAAAATGCATGCAGCAATGGGAAATCAGTAAAGCAAAGTACAATCGAGAAAGATGGAGAAAAGAAGCAGATAGGCTAGTTAAGCTGTTCACATAAACATTGCCATGAAAGAGGAAACCCACCAGCCAAAAATAGGGCACAGATTTGCATAAAGCATGCATATGCAAATTTGTAAATATGGGTGCAAATTTAGAAATAATTATTATAATTCAAATATTATAAATACAATGCAGCTCCCCATAGTAGGAAAGACTGAGGCTAGGTGCTCCTTGTTGGTCCACTGTAAATACCGGAGAGGAACTTTCTGCCTTCCCTTCTTACAGTCTTCTTCTCTAACTGGGACCAAACAGATTGTCAGATAAATTACAGCCCTCTGTAAAAGAGGACACTTGGCCACTCCAGTGTCAGACCAGCTAATTCTCTTTTCTCTTTCTGCCACTGAGCAAAATAACTCAATACTTTGCTCTTTCTGTGGGTATGGGCAATACCCAGTTTTCTCTCACCTAAACTGCATCCATAATAGCAGCAGCTTTGTTGTGGGATTTGCATGAACAGTATTGTGCTGTTAATCTGAATGTTTAAATAATCTGTGACTAACTGAGACACAGTCTTATTACTGAAATGTTTTTATTACACCAACATTTGATTCCCCGCCCAGAGTAATTGTAGAGCACCATGCTATCTTAAAGCACACACCTTGTTGGTTTGAGTTTCCACCATTTTCTCTTTATTCCAACATGGCAGCTAGTGTATATGGAATTGCTTGTCATCTGTGTGACCCAGCTGCTAAGCGTTGGCGTAAACTTTTTTTTTTGTGGGGCGGGGGAGAATGCACCATCTGGATAATCATAATTCTTGCTCTTTTCCTGGCAAGCTAGTTAATTGTTGGGTGTTATTCATGATGGACCTATTTATAAGGATAATTGAGGGTCAAGCTATTGATTTCTTCTCCTGTGTACCTTGGATGCCACATTTGTTGATGAATTTTTGTTTATGAGTGATTGGCCTTAGAAAGATTTAAAAGACAGAAGATATACAGCATTTTTTTACTTCTTATTGAAATAAAATGTTAGCTTTGTATTTTCCTGAAGGCAACAAATATTGATGCTAAAATAACTTTTGCCTGAATAATAGCCTTATTTATAAATCAATTTTATTTGAATATTTAAATTTAAGTAAGTTTAGTTCCATCCTTGACAATTTGACCTCACTGAATTAAGAAGAGTAAACTGGCTAAGGTCTGAGTGCTGTGGCTTAATTATTTTGTCAGTCCACCATTACTATGGTAATGAATTATTTTCATACCTAATGGGCCAATCCAAAACTTTGCTGCATCAGCAAAAAAAGTGCTTAGAATGGGATGCACTGATTGCTGTGCCAGCTAATTTCATATTGCACGACTTATTGCAGTATTGCAGCTGTATTGTTCTGGATTTGTAAACAGAGACATTGCAGCACCTGTTTAAAACTTGGGTGAAACATATTTATATCCAGTGAGTTCAGCTAGTTTAAAAAGGTGTGAACTCCAAATACTGAACTAAACTATTGTAACAAACCACTGCGGATCCATGCAGCAGTGGTGTAGCGTGGGTTGCCAGTGGCTGGGGCCATGCAGAGGGGAGTGGGTGGGAGGAAGGGAAATGGATGGAGTACGTATGTGCATTCAGTTGCCTAATGGCATCCGCGTCACCCAGGAGACCGCAGCTGCTGAGATAAGAAAGAAGAGTTGTTCCATTGTCTGGAGAGGTCACTTACTGGTTCATATGGGGAAGCCATTTTCAATGGAGTCCAGCAACAGAAGCACACAACTGTATTGAGGCAGCACAGGGGGTTGACATTTTGTGCCCCCTAACAATTTTGTGCTCAGGGCAACCACCCCGGGGGGGGGCATGCTATGCCACTGCCCTGCAAGGGAGGGGGAATTAGAGACTCAGGGGCCATTTGCTTAAGATGATTTAAAAAAAAAAAGAGAGTCTAGTAGTGCAATCTCATAGTTTTAGAACCAACTCCCATTAAGTTCAATGCTGCAATCCTATGCTCATTTATTGATTTATGCATATGATTGCTCTATAAGAAAATGCTTGATAAAGGTTATAAAGTTATGAATAACATTTGACTGAGGAGACGGGCTAATTTATTCTCTCTGTTTAAGATTCATTCATTTTTAAGGATGATGATGATGATGATGATTTATTGAAAGAGAAAGGTAAAATTAGAACAAGAAACAGTTTTGGAAAATTGTTATGACATGTGGAATAAAGCTATCAGGAATGAAAACACTGAAGTCCCCTGAAGCTGTTGCTTTTCTGGCTGGTGGATGGAGACAAGTTGGCCTACCTTTTGCAATGATGTGTTGGATGCTTGGTCTTCTGGTGGCAGAAGCTAGAATGCCCTTCTCTCAATCCCTGCATTTCCAGAGTTGAAGATGCTGGCCTGGACTCTGTGTCCCTTACATACTGACAGTTTTGAAGAAGTGGCACACAGAGGGGGTTTTTATGTGCCAGACTTTTGGATGCCTTGAAATGATTTTCTCACCCCCTACCAAATTACTCATTCTCACCTGCTGAATCTTAGCCATGTGAATTATAAAGCACAGTGACTTACACTCAGCTTCTCTGTGGGATAGATCCTCTCCAGTCACAAAAGAAGTTTGACTGCAGCAGGAGAGATATATTAAAGTTACTTCTTTTGCATTTCCAGCCAGTAAATACAGTGATGCATGGAGGAAAATGAAGTGTAATTGGTGTTAGAAAACCAGTTGCCATCATAACATGCAAGGCTACCTGGTTTGCTAATTTTATGTCTCTCAGTATTTTATGTCTATAGTGATGAGTAATTATCCATTTAACAACAATTCGTCTTCAAAGCTGTTACAGCACATAATTAAAATCAACTTTTTTTTTTTTTACAGACCCATCACATAGAAAAGGAATGAAATTGGAATTTTCTCCTCCTGTGAAATTTATACTGGACACCCAGCACTTTAATATAATGCCTATTCCCTGGTGGGGATGGTATTCAATAAATTTATTCCATTAGCACAATAATTTTTGGCTGTGAAATGGAGCTTCTCCTCCCTGCATGAGACCTGCACACACACACAAACCCTAAATCTAGGCTGAGTTTTCTATCAACCCTCTAGAAGGTTTATGAGGGTTCAGGACACAGGTAGGGAGAGGAGAGTGGTGGAGTTCTGTTGTGTGAAATCCTTGCATTAATGGAAGGAGGGCATTGAGTATAACCCCACTGCATTATGGGATGCAAGTCAAATGAAATAGTGGGCACAGAATAGGTTGTAGAAAAATAAGGTTGGTAATAGCTAGGGATGTGGGGAAAATTTGATTTTCTTTATATTTTAATGCAAAATGACAAAATTTGCACTTCTTCAACCAACATGCAAACCCAACTGTTGCTATCATTTGAAATTCAGTTGTCTCTAACCTATGCATATTTTGGGGGAAGGGGCACAAGAATAAAAATGCATATATTAATAAAAATAGCATACATATTGCATTATTTTAGGGGAAATTGCTTGAAGAATGTGCATATTAGTCAGAACATTATACAAAAATGTGTTTATTTTATTTAATAAAAATTTTATACAGCTTGACTGTAAAAATCTCCAGAATGCTTTACAAAAGGAAGAAAGTACATAATAAATTGGCACTGAAGTGCTGCTGATTTCTTTAAAAAAATAATCCTAAATTGCTCTGGAATTGTGGAATTTAAAATGTGATTTTAAAGTTGAGCTTCCCCTACATCCCTTCCAATCTTGATTGACACACCTGGGTTTGCTGCAGCTGAACAGCTGTGTCTCTCCACTTGATGAGGTACATGATCCTCACCTGCCCTGAACTTAATCCAACTGAGTGACAACAAAGCTCCTCCCAGACCTAACAAGCCCTGTGGTCTCCACCTGGTCAACTAGTAAGCTGGGATGTGTTCCCTTGCCTGCCCCACGCTCCTGGAGTGCACTTCTCACTGTTCCAGATGCCTCAGAGCCTGCTGTGTTTGCAGAGACTGGGTCATGTCTGATTCTGGTGATGTGCCCTCTTCTCCTGGCTCCTGTGATCTGTCAGCTACCCCTTCAACATCCTCTGATGCCCTGTGAGTACGTCCTAAGTCCCCAACCTTGCCTTCCCCATCTTCAGCTTGTACCAATAGTGGCTACACCCTTTGCTGAGATCCTCTTCCCTTTCCTTGGTGTTATGCAAGTTTGTGACATTTGGGGACCCTTCTGCTCATTCAGCTAAGTGGGGCCCTCAGTGTCTGCCCCCCCAAGTCCTGCACTGGAGGACTTTGCATTGAATACGGCTAAAGGCAGAAGAAAAAATGCAAATAGATCTGTAGACTGAAATGAACTTTTTATGGCAGGAACTGACTGTTATCCAACTACTGATAGGCAAATGACATGAAAACAGCAATGATTCAGGGTTAGGTCCTTTGCATTTGGAGTGTTGTTTATTCATAGGCATAGTTCTTAATAAATAAGTTGTGTTAACTATTTTCAAACTATAAAATAAAGAAATATTGGCTATCTTCTTTTAACGAGAATGATTACCCATCTGCTCCTCTTCATCCATGGTTAGGAACTGTGTCCATTAGACTAAAGAAAAATTATGATCCAAATTTCTTCCCACCTCCAAAGTGTATGTAGACTGTTCTGTGCACATAACAGCTTAATGTTTCACAGAACATTCCCTCAACAGAATTTAGTATTGCTGGTGTGTCTAAATATTACTGCTGAGAGGCACAAAGTAACAAACATTTACACAAAACAACCCACATACTGTTAATTGCACCATTGCCACTTTATAAACCACCTCGGGGAGTGCTGTATTCTATAAACACCATTTCTGCAATGATCTTAAGTAACAAACTGTTTTACTTGGAAAGAACTGGGGGAGATGCAGTGCAAAGGCATCCTTACCTTGTTAATTGTACTGTAGCTACTTTAAAGTCTGCCTCAGAGAGTGTCCATTACTTTAAATACCACTACTTCAATGATTCAAGCTTTTTCTTTTCAGCTATACTCAATTGTCACTTTAAAACTTTTTCAAAATCATTATTTGGACTATATGCATAAAATATTTTTTTTTTGTTTTTTAAACAGTAATATTCAATAAATAATATACAGCAGGGACATAAGCTCTTATGCTAGATATTGTTTCAATATAGTATTGCTCTGGTCTATCTTGGCAGCTGCATAATAGTCCCTTAACCCCGCCCCCCGTTCTGCTTAGGAAATGTTAAAAAGTGTTCTGTTAGAGCATTTTAAAAAGACTTTTAAGTATAAAATTAATTGATCAATTCTTAACTGATATGGGCATGAAATCCTATGCTTACTAGGTCTCACTGAGTTTGATAAAGCTTATTTCCTGATAACTGTGTCCAGGACTGTAGTCTAAGAGTGCTAAAATAAAACTGTTATACAAATGATTGCTGGTCTGGACAAAACCACCAATAAAAGACCAGGTAGAAACAGCACATGTTATCAACAGTCTATTTGTCAAAATATTTAACAACAATCCTATTGAGATTTGAAGCTGTTGATCTCCATTAGCTACATCACTGCAATTATTCCAATAAACAACTGTCGAGGGTGCCTTCAGGCCCAAATTCAGCTCTTTGTAAGCTATGAATTATTCCTCTGTGGTCTTTAATGGCAAGGCATTGTTCAGGCTTCCGGCAACAATAATTGATGCTAACTAGGGCTCAGTATACACTCTTGTGACTTTAGCAGCTTCTGTTGTACCTCTAAACTAATCTCACCTAAGCCACACATAACTCAAAAAACCAAGCTTGATGTTTTGTTGGCTTTCATTGATGGAATTCATCCATAATTAAATTTGCCATCAATATGAGAACCACAGAGGAGTGAAGGAAGGGAAAGTTTGAGCTGCTTAAAGAGATCAGCAGTTTTTGCTTCATAGTTAGTACCATCTCTTGTGTAAAAGCCACTATAATGGAGGGGTAGGACACATGGAGATTTAGCATGGTTTTGTGTGAGGCCCATTCATTTTAATGGAATCTGTTCAGGAGAATTTTAGGTAAGGTGTGCTCAGTGTTTGTTAGGGACTAGCTCAAAGGCGTACTTTCTAACTAGGTTAAAACTTTTGGGCCTCTAAACACTTTCATTGTGAGAAATATTTACGGAGCAAGGAGGAAAGCATTTAGTTTCAAATATGAAACATAACGAGTCCTAGATTGCAAGCATTGCCAGGTAACCTTAGATGTTGCTGACAGCAAAACAAATGATTGAAGTGTCCCTCTAATATAGAAGTTCTCAAATGTTTTTCTCTGGGCCACACTTTCAGAATAAAAATTTGCTCATGCTACTCTGAAGTTGTGCTATATGTTATTAATCAAGCACTGCTAGTTGTTTCTTTTTGTTTTTCAATGTATTTCTTATCAATAAAAACAAAAAGAAACAACAACTAGCAATACTTGATTTATAACATATAGTACAACCTTTATAATAAGATAATGGGACACCCAGAAAGTATAAAACAATGCAGTTACATAAGAACACGAATTATTCCCAAAATATAATTATAAACAAGCCTCTTACACATGTACCTTAAGCATGTATACAAACTTAATGAAAGGTGTGAGCTTGCTTTTGCCAGGTAATCTCATTCACCGTATACTAGATCTGATCTGAGACAAACAAGCTCTCATCACCTCATCAACACAAAGAAGTCGCTCTTTTCTGATCTTTCATAGTTGTCAGATTTGAAAATCCCTGTTCACAACAATATGTTGTAGAGAACTGCAGAAGAATAACCATGCTCTTGAAGAGAGGTGTGGATGCTGTTTCTAGTTGCAGATCTGTCTACCTATTGATGCTTAAATGTTTACTTGTTTCTTTGACTGTCCTTGTCCCACCACACTTGCCATCTTCTCCTGCTGAACCAATGTGGTGTGCCACACCCTTTGAGAACCACTGCTCTAACAGAATGCAAAAAACTATTTGCATATGGGTTCCTACTGTGCAGCATCCATTGTTGATTTATGCAGTAAGTGGAGTAGAACAGTATATTAGGGTTTGGCTAGGATAAACTGTCACTTTCAGTTGTTTGTGCTACAGTACTTGAAGGAACATCAGACGGACTTACATTCTGTTGCACTGAGCGTGAACTATATCCATAACTACACCATGTTGAGCCAGTAAGGAACTTTTGTGATATTTTAAAATTTGGTAGAGTTGATGTGAAAAATCCTGTCTTCACATTTAGTGAATTATATATCTGGCAGTATAATAGAGTAAGGTCCGTATAGTTAAAGCCATGGTTTTCCCAGTAGTGATGTATGGAAGTGAGAGCTGGACCCCAAAGAAGGCTGATCGCTGAAGAATTGATGCTTTTGAATTATGGTGCTGGAGGAGACTCTTGAGAGTCCCATGGACTGCAAGAAGATCAAACCTATCCATTCTTAAGGAAATCAGCCCTGAGTGCTCACTGGAAGGACAGATCATGAAGCTTTATATACTTTATACTTACTTACTTACAATACTTTAGCCACCTCATGAGAAGAGAAGACTCCCTGGAAAAGACCCTGATGTTGGGAAAGATGGAGGGCACAAGGAGAAGGGGACGACAGAGGATGGGATGGTTGGACAGTGTTCTCGAAGCTACGATCATGAGTTTGACCAAACTGCGGGAGGCAGTGGAAGACAGGAGTGCCTGGCGTGCTCTGGTCCATGGGGTCACGAAGAGTCGGACACAACTAAACGACTAAACAACAACAACATAATAGAATATTTTAAGGCAGTCAATTTCAAATGACTAATTTAGCCAACATGATTTTTGAATTCTATAATGGGTCTTCTCCCAAACATTGACAACTGTGCTGTTGATGACCAGGGGTGCTTCCAGAAAACCTCTGTTGAGAATTTCATCCTGATTTATTTGTCTAAACTCCCCTCAAACTTTGTGCAAATTCCACTGTTCATTGAGCATTAACTTTGATTTGTTTATGGGGAAATCATACAATGTTGCATCAAGCCTTTTTAAATCACATACCTTTTCCTTTTTCCATCACTTTCCTTGCTGCAAAGGGTCCTCTCTTTTGTTGGAAGCTTTTTTTAAACGCTAGAGCACCAAATCCACTTAAGTTAGAAAACCTGAATTTGCAACTATGCACTTGAAACCCTCCTGCAAAATAGTGATAGTCTTAAAGTGTCCCTCGTTGAAGTAGAGGACTCAGGGCTAGTCCAAGTCATTTTGGCCCCTGAGGAGACCTCAAAATGGTGCTTTCCTCCCCACCAGGGAAAAAGTGGGGAGGGAAGCTCTATATCAGGAACAAGAGGGGAAGAAAGATTGACATCAGGATCTACTGCACCAGTGAATCCTGCCACCTGAGACAATCTTCTCACCTTACCTCATGGGGTGGGCCAGCCCTGAGGAGATTAGACTGATGACCTGTGTTGATTGTGGAGGGGGCTTAGGGAGGTGGTGCATAGGTTTTTCTTCACTACCCTCCATCAGCAGAGAGAAGCACCAGCACTGGTGTATGTGGGGGTGTGCATTGCAGTTGAAACCCCTAGCTTCACCTAGGTGGGTAGTAAGCTGCTATTGATGGTTCTATTACCAGCAGTAGAGCATAAAGTGTTTTTGGACAGTGTGTCAGGGACCTTGGATCTGTTGGATCCTACCTGGGAATAAGCCTCACAGAACTCAGACATGAGGACTCAAGCATATTGGTTGTAATGCATAGCTGAATGCCACCTTCTACAGTTCCCTTTCACCGCCTCATCATCACACAATCCCCTGATTTATAGTGGACCTGAGATGGCTGAAATGCAAAGGGAAACAGGGAAGACAATATGTGCTCCATCTGAATTCACTGCTCATCTGTATTTGTTGGACTTGGAGGCTTCTGCCATGAATACACAGTGCTTGTGAGGATGTGCCTGAAGATGACTGGGCACTGAAAGCTTATTCATCCTGTAAATCATTCTTCTTCAACATTGTGTTTTGCATTACAACTTCAATCAGTCTCAGTGAAAGAGTTATAGTGAAAACATCTGGAGGGCACCAGGTTGGGAAAGGTTGCTGTAAATGAAAGCAACCAGGAGAAGTGGGAACCTTTGCTGACTGAGGTGATCACTGCATGAATGTTGGTTTCAAGTGCACTCCTCCTCAGAAAAGGTACCAAGGGATGCATATTCCCAAAATCAATTATCCAGTTCTAGCATTCACCTTTTGCCATTATAAAAGCTAGGCAGTAGAAGCAATTTCATTAAATATGACTATCATTGTTGGCTATTTATATCAAACTATTTTTTGATGTTCCTTTAAATGTATTGACTCCATAGCCTGTTGATTAGTCAGTTTTATTAGCATGTAAAATAGCATGGAAACTCTCCACTCCCTAAGCTTGCTAGGATTTATTTTAAAATAGTAATGTATTATTATGTAATCTCCCTTAAACATAACATGCTTTAAACATTTTATAAATTGGAAACTAATCAGGGGGAAATGTTATAGCCGTTACTCTCGCCAGAAAAGAAAATGGAAACCAATTTAAATAACGTGAGAAGATTCACTTACCCATAAAAAAATTGGCTCTTTCATTTGTAACAGTACACATATAATTGTTATTAGGTTGTAGTTTGCTACTCTGGTGCTACATTTTAACAGTCGGTGGGTCATGTTCATCCTTTGAAATCAAATTAATAGATCAAGCATGATATGATGTAAAAAAATCCACACTATAAGAATCATTCTGATTTGTTTAGATGGAATGCAGGAGACAGATACCACTAAAATCAAAAAGTTTTAGCAGTATGACATCTAGTAACCTTTATACAGTGCAGACACAAATTCTTCCAACTGACTTTAACTCAATTCAACACAGCATTAGGTATATTTAAGGTGAAACAAACACCACCACTGTGATGTTCAAAATACAATGGCAGAAATGGTCAATGTTTATTTTGAAATAAATATCTGAAATAAGTATCTGACTCATTGATCCTATCATACTATCAGGGTCATAGAAACAGTGAGTCTATACCACATATCTAGCCTAATCATATAGTAAAGAGAAATACATGTCTAAACTTTCCGTAAAGCACTTTGACTCAGAAAATAATATTATTTCACTGCATGTTTCCTCAAACAATATGGATGTATTTCCCCTAATGTTTAAACTTAAACCAAACTTCCTCTAGTTTGCTTATTCCCCTACATTCAGTAGCAATAATCCCTTATTTTCCTTCAAGCATCATTTTAATAGTTGAAAACAGTCAACATGAAGAACAGACTAATAAACTGACTTGCATTTTTCAGTTCCTTTGGTGTGCTCAAATTGTCCTAAGAATGCTTCACTATGTGTTCAGACTACGGACAGCAAAACTCCTTAGCTTCTGATACAGAAACAGCCCAGATGGGCCTACTGTGTTATTTTTCTGCTTGCTGTGTGAAAATAATCTTATAGCTCCTATTTGGGTCTATCAAAGTTAGCCTTAGCTTGCTCTTTAACTGCTCTGAATCCCCCACTGTTTTGCTGCCTAATATTTCCTATGGGCACAGCTTTTTTCCAGCACCTCTCAGGTGGGCTCCATTGCCATTCTAAGAGAACAGGAGAGGTGTTCATGGTGAATCCTGGCACCTCTTTTTCTAGAAAAATAGCACTGCTTATGGGACAGTTTACTAAACTACTAGATAATTATAAATGCTATTAGACTGCCCACTATTTGGGTAACTTTGATAGGAGAGGAGGTGCAGCCTATGAGATTATGAGCAGTATCAGTTTTTCCTTGGATAGAAGGGGTGAGGTTGTCATGTGTCCTGGAAACCATAAAAGTCTTTGCAGGATAAGACTCTGGAGATGCTGCTACATTTATCTTCAGAAATGTGGAGAAACAGAAGAGGAAATCACACTTCCTTGGTTCCTCTGCAGTTTACCAATATTAGTCTAACAATCCCTTATATTTTGACCCTACCTTATTCATCACTCTGTTGGCAAACATTAATGGAGGAAGGGAGGACAAAGATAAACACTGGATTTTGGCTTATATAGTATTTGTTCTGGAGAAATATCCAAACAAATAGGAGGAATTGGCATAAATACAGTGACTGCTTTTAACGAGTTCCAGAGACTGCATTTATAGTTAGTGGTTTCCAGGATCAATAGCTTCTGGCATTCAAATCAATACAACTTAACAATAAACTGCAGTACTGAACATCACACGGTGTAATTTGGCTCTCCCATCTGATGACAGAAACCATTATAGCAGATGAAAGAACACTTTTAACAGAAGGACCCTGGAACTAACAGTGATTAGCAAATTTCACATTAAACTAAGACTAAACTGTTGGGAGTTTTCATTTTTTTTAAAAAAAACCACATTCAAATTTCTTTGTGTTCTCAGCTTGTCAGCAAAAGAATGCTCTCAAAAACATTGTGTGGTGTATAACTTATGGCAGATGTATCCATGTAATTACAGAAGAAAA